TAATCTCTCAATATATAAGGCGGCTTCCAATTGGCTCTAATGTTTTTGAACACTGCCAGATGATTGGCTCGGCTAAAACAAAGGGAATTGAATATGCAGCTCGGGTAAGCAGACGGTAGTATTTCGTCGCTTGGCGTAAGAACTACAACGTCTGTGAGCAGGCTACTTGTGAAGAGGAACATTTTTGGAACATTGATTGGTTATCCATATTCATCACCAAGGTGTTTGTTAACTTAAAGGATAGATTGAACAAAACGTAAGATTTCATTGCTTATATTTATTGGGTAGTTCCCAAACTCTGCATGTTTGTCACTGGAAGCCCACATTTGAGATATCAGTCATGGCTAAGCTGCAATATGCTGTTACTGCGGGGCACAACACATTATGTAACATCTGTCCATGCATGTCTATGAAGCTTAACCCTTTAAGCAGGGTGGAAAAAGTATTGGATGACGGCTCCCATTTCTCCCAGATAATTTTCCCCAGGAAAGATAAATGTAATTGTAAACATTTGGATAAAAGGAGGAATTCAGAGGAAAAACTCTAACAAATAGAAAGAATGTTACCTGTACTGTAGGTATTACTACCGATTATTAATGCCGCAATCTACCTGATGCCGATTTTATAATGACGTCATAATATCAGTCGACCGAGTAAAGTAACGTCATTCATGTTGATTTTTAGCGATAATTTCCAATGTAACATGTTACTGTGATCAAAGATCGTCAAACTGGTCATAAATGGCACGCTTCACACATTAATTTAAACACAACATGTATTTAATATTGTAACATTGTCACTGAAAAGCCCCTGCTGCTGTTGTCAATAAAGTGTTGTATTGTATTGTGTATCAATATGCATTGCACATCATTTTTAAAGTGCATATTTTCTCAATAATCGGTTTTAGATAGTCTGAAATATAGATAATTCTGCCGATTGTCTACAGATTATTGGATTACTAGCCGGCCGGGTATGACCTTAGATATATGCAAGTATTTGACGTGCATGTCCATCTAAATAGTATGATAGTGTACATAAGATAGAATATTAAATATCAATCACCAAAAACTGTCATTACCTTTTTAGTGAAAGTCAAATTCATTATTTAGATATTCAATTGAATTGAGAATTTGTTATCAAACACAAAATGTGTGTGAAAATTTCTGCAAAACTGTAGATCCCAAATACTTTCTGCGAATTCCCAGGTTCTGATATTTTTTTCCATCTCTGGGACTGATATTCCCAATCCTGATGTATGCTACAATGAAGTTCTGCTGCCCCCAGTAATGAATCCCGCACATGTTTAGCAGTCTTGAGAGACAAAAAAATTATTAACATGTGACCATCTCAACCAATCAAAACCCCTGACTACCTAATTCGCGGCAGTAAAACGTCATCATTATGGAATTTCTCGGCTTGTTGTTCAGACGTTTATTCTTGGAAGGAATGAGCAATTATAATGGGTGGCTGTTTACTCGAGCTATTCACAAACTGTAGACAAGTGGTGTTTGCACTACTTGTTCCGAGTTGTTGTAACAATTTTTGGAACATGTTGTTAACAACTTGTAACAATGATGCTTGTGATGTTACTCCGAGTGTATATCCACACCGGGCAAGCTTGAAAAATATGACCGACCACGGTGGGAATCGAACCTACGACCTTTGGAATACTAGTCCAATGCTCTGCCAACTGAGCTACGCGGTCAGATCGGTTCGAGTGATATTTCGGGACAGAATCTAGTTCCTTCGATATCAACGTAATCTAGCAATCATGATTTATTCTTGCCCGGTGTGGATATACACAAGCATCATATTCACCTGAGTGCATTACACCAACACAGAAAAAATCATGATTACTAGATTGCATTGATATCGTAGGAACTAGATTCTGTTCCGAAATATCACATACTCGAACCGACCTGACCGCGTAGCTCAGTTGGCAGAGCACTGGGCTAGTATTCGAAAGGTCGTAGGTTTGATTCCCACCGTTGTCCGGCATATTTCTCAACCTTGCCCGGTGTGGATATACACTCAGAGTAACATCACAAGCATCATATTCCCCTGAGCACATTACACCAACACTGAAAATAACTTGTAACAAGCTTGATGCCATTATCAGACTTGTCACAAGGTTGTTCTAACTACATGTAACAAGTCTGATACAGTCATGACATCACAAAAAATAACTTTAAAACCAAACAAATTAAAAGTAAAAATACGAAACGTTAGCTAATATTTTTTTACTTTTATAATATAGTTGATTTTAAAGTTATTTGCTGGGCTCTGCTCTTTATCTTTAAACTAAGATTTCCGCCTGCATGGTGTATCAATTGCCACAATTTGGGAGACATGTGTACTTGGCGGACATGGTGTTCATTGGCGTGAAATTATTTTTGAAAGCGCAAGTTCGAAGCTTCAGATTGAAAGGGATACAACTACGTGAAAAATACCAGGAGAACGTTTCGAGCGAGTTTCGAGAAATCACGATGTTCTCCTTGTGTTTTTCATGTAGTTGTATCAATCCGTATCTTCATATCACTACCCAAAAATCTTTAATCTTTAAAAGGCAATTTTTTTCAATGTCACGTATTTGCAATGAAAAGTGTTCAAAACCTAAAATCTTTTGGACGTTCCTCTCAAAATTACTTTGTTTTAGCTTTATTCTCTAGTTTAGAGAGGTAGCTACCTTTTTAAATGCATCTGCCGGTTGAGAAACATAAAATAATAGTTAAAAATTGTCAATTAAAGTACAAATATCAACGATGCTTTAAAATTGACGCCATATTTATAGCCATATAAGCAAAACTTACTGAATTTCAGACATCATTTTCTCTTTGCCGTATCATCTAAAATCTCTTCATTTTGGCATTATTTTACAGATAAAGCACTAAACATACTTTTTAAGTTTGTTTGCCGATGAGAAACGTAACGAAAAATATTTGAATAATATAATTTTGAATTTAGTCATAACCTCAAGCGATATATTATACGCATTACTACGGTGGCCGTTAGGGACACGCTTGTTCTGTAGAAAATCACATTCGTTCTGTGTACTTGAAGTAGTTTTCCTTAATAACAGAGCGTTTCTGTATAAATGTGCGGCGTTTCCGCAGAAATATAGACGCTTTCCGTACAAATGTAGATTTCTTCCGTACAAATGTAGATGCCTTCCATGGAAATGTTATACATGCCTTCCATACAAATGTAGACGCCTTCCGTAGAAATATTATGCATGCCTTCCATACAAATGTAGACGCCTTCCGTAGAAATTTTATGCATGCCTTCCATACAAATGTAGACGCCTTCCGTGGAAATCTAAAACTAATGCGGGCGCATAGTCTGGTAACTATGGTAACTGCAGTTGCTATATTATGCAAAATGGCGGCATGTGTTTATTTTATTATTTTATTTTAAAGTTTTCGCCCATACATACAAAAAAAACAGTGTATGCAAATACATAAACAGTGTACGCACGAATTTGCTCTTCCAAATTCCAATTTTTGTCCCACTGGCGGTCATATCGCAACAAGTAAGATCGTACAAGCAATTGTAGTATATGACAAATGTTTGGTGTGATGTAAATGGACACTTTGTTGTTTTAGTCACGGAAATCAAAACTCCACATGGGATACTACATAAAATCTATACTATGGCGCTTGTGACGTTACTCTGAGTGTATACCCACACCGGGCAAGCTTGAAAAATATGCCTGGCGACCTTTGGAATACTAGCCCAATGCTCTGCCAACTGAGCTACGCGGTCAGGTTGGTTCGAGTATGTGATATTTCGGAACCGAATCTAGTTCCTTCGATATCAATTTAATCTAATAATCATGATTTTTCTGTGTTGGTGTAATTGTACTCAGGTGAATATGTGATATAATACTCAAATAAATGATGCTTGTGATGTTACATATTTTTCAAGCTTGCCCGGTGTGGATATACACTCAGAGTAACATCACAAGCATCATGCATATTCACCTGACTACAATTACACCAACACAGAAAAATCATGATTGTTAGATTACATTGATATCGAAGGAACTAGATTCGGTTACGAAATATCACATACTCGAACCGACCTGACCGCGTAGCTCAGTTAGCAGAGCATTGGGTTAGCATTCCAAAGGTCGTAGGTTCGATTCCCACCGTGCCCATGCAGGCATATTTTTCAAGCTTGCCCGGTGTGTGGATATACACTCAGAGTAATGTCTGTTATTGTTTATACTTGTATCCTAAATGTTTTGGAATCCCGTTATTGGAGATCGAACTAATAATCTCTGTGTGGTAATTCCAGCCATGTAGCCTATTTTGTAATTAATTTTATGTAATATAGTGCATAAGTATTGTGTTCAATGGCAAAATCTGTAAAATAAAATAAATAAATAAAATAACATCACAAGCATACTAGTATAGATTTATAGTATCCCATGTGGAGTTTTGATTTCCGTGACTAAAAACAACAAAGCGTCCATTTACATCACACCAGACATTTGTCATATACTACAATAGCTTGTACGACCTTACTTGTTGCTTTATGACCGCCATTGGGACAAAAATTGCAATTTGGAAGAGCAAATTCGTGCGTACACTGTTTACATGCCGCCATTTTGCATAATATAGCAACTGCAGTTACCATAGTTACCAGACTATGCGCGCGCATTAGTTTTAGATTTCTACGGAAGGCGTCTACATTTGCATGGAAGGCATGCATAAAATTTCTACGGAAGGCGGCTATGGAAGACATCTACATTTGTACGGAAGAAGTCTACATTTGTACGGAAAGCGTCTATATTTCTGCGGAAGTCGTCTGAATTTTCTACGGAAACTCCGCACATTTATACAGAAACGCTCTGTTATTAAGGAAAACTACTTCAAATACACAGAACGAATGTGATTTTCTACGGAACAAGCGTGTCCCTAACGGGCCACCGTAGTTTATGGTTGTCACAACTCCTTTGACAAAGACGGACTGTATTCAAACTGGTAAGGAAATATTATTTTGTGCTTAGATATCATTCGAGAAGTTTTTTCTGCAAATGACAATGTAAAGCAAACGGTAGTTTATGTTTTGTTCACGTGCATGTGTCACCAGCTTTTCCCGACTATGGCTTCTTTTCTGAGGTTTTTGCATGCAGTTTGTTTCATTCAAATATTATATTTCCATTGTTCCTTGTGATGTTCTCGTGTGCGTTTTTCCTACCTACTGTACAGTGTATTTTATAGGCCTGTTTGTATTTATGAAAGCATATTGTTATTGAGTTTTTTCCCTTCACATATTTAAGCATTCCTGATGCAAAGAAGCATCCAGAGTTGTACAGCATATGGGTTGAGTATATGAATAAACATGCGACAGTGAAGTCTGTTCCTGCGAAAAGTAGTCGTTTGTGTTCAGATCACTTTAGTGCTGATATGTATGAGATAAAGGGCAAAAGCCAGAAATTAGTATTGAGACCGGATGCTAATACCAACAATAGTTACACAAAGGTTTGCTCAGGTCATTGGTGCGATTTAAAGTGTTATATGTAACAGTGTGCATGAGTTACATTCTTTGCTAAGGGACAAGTCATTATTAATGCCGGGTAGGGGGCTGGAGGAAATTTTTATGAATAGCAAAAATTTTTCATGACCCCTTATTTTTCTAACAAACTATTTTATCCCCCCCCTTATTGAGGCAACATATTTCATAGCCCCCCCCCCTCCCCAATTCTGAATTCAATTACTCTAAGTCAGTTTCGTAACCATTTTTCCTGCCCTCATACTCAGTTTACTTGCAGATGTAAAGAATATTGTAAATATTGAAAATAAAGAATATTGTAAATATTGAAAATGATAGCCAAGTAGATAATTCAGACTTTATACCTGAAAAGTTGTTGGTCCTCAAACAAAAAAACCACAAATCAGACCTACTTTTACTAATTGAAAAAAATACATTTGTGTCTGGTGGAAGCATTACTGTATATTGAAGAGATGGCAGAAGAGACTGTCAACAACATGCAGAAACAGAACATGCAAAAGAGGTCCACTGTGTTAAAAGCAGGACAACAACTGTCAACTGAATCTTGCATTTGCAAATGCAGTGCATGACCCTTTAGACAAATTCTTTGGTGATGATGAGGATGACAATTTCCATATACAGTGCCTAGAACACAACTTTTAGGTTCAATATATTGGGCATTACTGTTCAATGTATGTATACTGTATATATCCATCACTCTTTTGATATTGCATGTTACAAACTATAGATTTTATTTTTTGCCCCCCTTTATGTTCAAAATATTTTCTCCCCCCCCCCCCTTCACTGGTCAAAATTTTTTTGTGGCCCCTCTATATTAAAATTTATTGTACATTTACTAGGAATGGTATGCTGGATGTGTTTTAAAAGAGGGCATACAAAAATTGTGTGCCCAAATAGAGCAAAAACCCACTCAGACAGTTGTTCAAGAACATAATTGGCACAATTGCCATGATATTAAATTCACTAAGTAACTTTGTGTATGTTATAATGTGTGAATGTTGTGTGAGTGTTGTGTGTTAATTTTAATTTATTTATTAGGCCATTAATAAATATTCTTGGTTTGAAAAATATTTTAGGGGGGGATGGACAACTTGCATGCTAATGGACAACTTGCATGTTAGACTAAATTTTAATCTAAGCAGAGAAAAGGGAATCAAACACCACAGCTAAAAAGAACATACTGAAACTAGAAGTTACTATCGCAAGAAGTGCTGCCGTACGACCAAAGCCCCATGGGGATTGACTTAAATTTAAATTGCCTTATAACACACTGTGTGTTTGAATTTATTTTGTTTAAAAAATATCGAAATTACAACAAGCATCAATTACTATATACTGTCAAATGTACTTCGGATTTTCATACATGTGATTGTAATGGAACCTGATATGACTAGTTTGTTGCAAGTTTTCATATTCTTTCCAAGTAATGATAGTCTACTGTATTTTCCATTTGGTAAACAAGTGTTACCAATCATGGCCAGAAATTGCGGACAGGATGTAGATATTTCGTATTAATTTAGCATGTACAGGTAGAGTCCATTGTTGGTCATCATTATTGTCCAATAACTTGTTACTGTATGTTACTGTACATATAAAGATATGTAATATCTTGCCATACACTGTTCCTGAAATCCATATGGTAGATTGGAAACAAGTACAGTAATTTAACAATACATGGCAGATATGTAATAAATCCATACAATCTTGTAAATCAGCATTCTTGTTTTAATAGAAATACATTTCTGTTAATCCAGAAGCTCCCATCCATTTTTAGGCAATGTATTATATCTTGGCTATATTAACAACCATTTGGTTTCATCCAGCAGTTAACATGGCAGCATTCACATCTGCCAGAATTGCAAAACAATAAAAAAAATAATTGGTAGTATGAGATATACTAAATATTTACATAGAAACATACTGTAGTAGCACATAAATTAATGAAAATACAGCTAGGGCAGGAGGAGGGGTTAAAAAAAACAAAAAACGTACTATTCTTTTATCTGGCAAATCATAATATTCCCATGATACATACATACATACAGTGTTAACAAGTAAATTGTGGGCTGATTACATGGAACAATTTCACCTACCTCTGAGGCTGAAAATTCAGCCCGGCTTTAACGATAAATCCAAATAAAATCCCATGCATAATTACATGGCAAGAATTTCAGCCCAGGCTGAAGCTCCTTTATAGCACAGAATAGGAAGTTATACCAGAAGCGTAACTCTAGTCGTTTCCCTTATTGTTTGACGTCCATGAAAATTTTAACTCGCTCACGCCATCCTGGCTAGTACAACCGGAAGTTTTTATCAGGTTTTGCTAGGTACAAAGTGCCGGTTGTACTAGCCAGGATGGCGTGATTGATGACGAATCGCTTGTAAAAACGCGGACAAATATTTGCTTGAGTTACGCTTCTGGTATAACTTCCTATTCTGTGTTTATAGCTTACACACATGTGTTGTACATAGTGTTTTTATCAAAACTTGTGTATTTCCTGCAAAGCTTGTGATAAATTTTCCCGGGCTAAATCAGATTGAAACTGCCCATGTAATCATCAAAATATTCAGCCCGAGTAGCCAGTTTCAAACTCAGCACGGACTGAAATTGTTCAGTACCTTAATTATTATATAATAAATTAAATTATTTAAAAGGGTATATACTATATAGTAAAAGCTACATGTCAATTAATCTATAACTGGGATTTATATATGAGAGGCTATTATTCAAACTCAATAGTTTGTTGCTGTGAATGCACTGCTAGAGCTAGTAGCCTGTGCTAACCGATCTAGCCTGTTTCCTTATTCAAGCCTTTAAATATTTGTAAGTTAGCTGATAGTTTCAAGCTTGTTAATGGTTTATAATGATTTTACTCTACTAATAGCAACATAAAAAACTCCAGCAGTTCTTTCAGATTTGCCAATATCTATATCCATGCTTTTGGAAGTGTAATTTTGGCTCTTGTGTATTGTTAGAGCCCAAGCAAGCCTAAGAGGTAACTGAAATTCCCTAAGAGATATACTGTACCACTGAGGTAACCTAAGAGATATACCACTGAGATAACCTAAGAGATATACCACAACTAAGAAAGTTATGCATTCCATTCCATAAAACAAAACAAAATGATGTTCGGATAAGGATGAACAATTGCCCATTTGTGTGACAAAGTTCAATGTTCTTTGCCGAGAAGTTCAATGTTTGTCACGCTTGAGCACTTGACAAGTTTTACATAATTAATCTGATCAACCAATCACGTTCAACCAGCTCCAAGCTAAGTGGCAGAGCAAATTGAAACATCACAAGCACAGAGTAGATACAGTACATACAGAGTTGTAACTGCAGTCATCGTAAACACTGTGGAAACTTACGTTAAAAAAGATCAAAGTCTGTGCATGCTCGGCAAGTTCAGCAAGCAGTTATGCACCTATCATATCTTTGACGACAAAATTTTAAAAATGTCAAAATTCCCCTGGGTTGCCCGCATCCCCCCCTCCCTCCAGGAGGAAAACATTGATAACTGCATTAAAGCGAGCCGCAATCCAATATGGGATGCATGCATCTAGTAACTTGCCGAGCATGTGCACAAAAAAGTGGATTACACTAGTTATAACAAAGGTTATAACTCTGTATATGCATCTACTCGTCACAAACACTAAATTTTGTCCGCAAAAACATTGATCTTTGTCGGTATAAAAACATTAAATTTTGTCATGAGAATAGACAATATGTTTGTCATCGTCAGTTGCAAGCGACGGTACAACTGTAAGGCTGTCATTCCACTCAAGTGCTCAAGGTGCAAATGGTTTTCATATTAAGCCTTTGTGTGTTCAATTATAAAATAGAAATACTAGGAATCTCGCTAGGAATGAATTTATGTTAGTATTTTGCATGAAAACGAACAGCCAGTTTATCAATGAGACAATGACTACAATATTATTGTATAAATATCCTTTCTGGACTTGGCCCTGGGATATATAGAACAAAAGTTATTCCGAATATCAATAAGGAGTGCATATAAAATATACACAATATATATAAAAACGTGGTATATAAATTGTTTACATCAGGTCATTATTCAGATCAGTATTTACTATAGAAAAGTTTATATGAAAGCTGCAGATCGCTGTGATGTATAAAATATCACTAGCTGAAGCAAATAGAATAGAAAAGTAATTAGTCATACTAACCTGATCGATTTTGTTCCAAATCCGTATTTTAGTTTGAAAATTGTAAAATATATCCAAAATGCTTCGAACGCATGTCGCCATTTCAAGTGTCAACATTTTAATTCCCCTCACTTCACAAACCTCTCTTGCGCAATGTCCCCCCGTAATACGACATCTTACCGGACACAAAGCCCAAATCGAGATCGACTATACATAACTCCGTGAAAAAGACTGGGGCGAGTAAAAACAGGAAGCATGTAAAGAATCATCCTCGTTCCCAGGGCTTCTCGGCTGCCTGCGTTGCCGTAAGCCCTGGGACAAGCCGAAGCAGAAGTGATTTGATTGGTCGTTGGAAATAGAGTGAAATATGAAAAGTTTATTCGTGAAGTGGATGTTTATATTCGGCAATATGGCTGCCTTCAAGGAGTGCGAGTTCGAAATACGAAGAAATACAAACGTATAATGCTTGTTTTCTATGGATTAATGGAGATAATTTGCAAACAGAAAGAAAGAAAATAACAAAATGGACAATTGTAAAGTAGAAGTAAGCAACAATATCGAAGAAACGTCAATTATGAAGCCATTAAAAAGTTTCTTCATTTTAACATTTTCTTGTTATAAAGTTGTCTGTTATTAAAACATTGTGATCAAGTATAATTGTAAAATTATAAGCACACTGTAAATATAAAATGTTTTATAATATATATAATATATTTACGATAGTAAAGTTTTAATTGTGTAATATATTGTGTTTTATTATGTTTTATTTGGCCTATGGCCCTATTACCCACCTGGCCACACATAAATGGCCCTATATTAAAATGACCAATTGGAATTTATAAATATAGCAGATAGAATATTATAGGTGTATTTTACCTGACTCGTACCCAGTCCCTCAAATGAGGATTAAACAAAATAATGGTGCATGATGGGAATGGTCAAGGGTAAAATTTGAGGGACTGGCAGAACGCGTTCGAAAAGTTGTCAATATGAGTCGAAAACTTGCATGACGTAAAATATTCATCAAAATGGTATCGAATTACACGCAAACAGCATGGCGGAGTCTAGCGAGGCTATGCAAATTGACGAAGAGCATTTTGAGGCAGTTTTAGGTTGTGTACACGATGTTTCGGTTGTTGAAGAAGATGGTTCTGGTGATATAGAGGCGTCTAAGACGGTGACGCCGAAATCCAGTCGAAGGAGCCTCGATTTTACGGGAAAACACGCGTTAACACCGGAATCAAAGTCTAAAAATCTTCCCAATCCAAAGCGATTTCAAATTGGTAAGCAAATATATTTATAATTACTGTTAATACCAAACATTTTCATTTGATACATTGTATTTGTTTAAATTAATACGCACATTATTAAAAGTATATATTTTATATATTTGATACTGTAATATCTTTTGCTGGAGATGTTTTCATATTTTAAAACTATTACAGCCAGGGCCTTGCAGAATCTATCTATCTAGCTTGCTTTGCAATGTTGCTCACCGTAGCTTTACATAAGTCCCACTCGCCCAACCCCCCTCCCCCGGTTGTTATTAGGAAAAGTTGGTAATCGTTCCATGTTTGCGCAAACAATATAGTAAATGTTATGTAATGGATATTATAGTGTATTGAAAAGTTCACTAGATACCTCCATACACATATATACACACCCTAACCCCAACCTTAAACGTAACCCCTAACCTCAATACCTAACCCCTAACCCTAACCTCTATTGGTGCGCGAAACATGGAATGATAACCGAAAAGCTTTAAAGTAGACATGTTAGCTAGGTTGTGCAATACTGCAATGTATGTCTGTAATAAACCGAGCATTGAGATGTTACTCTGAGTGTATACACCAACACACATTACACCTAGATTCAGTTCCAAAATATCACATGCTTGAACAGGCATTTTTTTCAAGCCTGCCCGGTGTGGATATACACTCAGAGTAACATCACAAGCATCATATTCACCTGAGTACATTACACCAACACAGAAAAATCACTAAAGCGAGCATTGTGGACAGATAAATGTCAAGCATGTGACTGATGCTGCACCAGCTTCCAGTGGTGTGTGAGACAGGGCTTTGAATGATATAGAGTTGATGAATTAAGTCAATTTCTCCATACAACAACCTTTTGGCTATCATATGTTACAGAAAACATGCATTAGAAATGAAATACAGTATAAATGTTTTTTCCATATTTGGTTTATACTAGGAGAGAAGCCATCTGGTAGAGAAGTGAAAATAAGGCAAGAGTTCTTGGAAGAAAGACTAAAAGAAAGATTTGAAGAGAAAGCAGGTTGTACAATCCAGCAAGTAAAAGCACTGTCACTAGTTGGTGAGGGCAATACTTCTGAAACTTCAAAGACAATGTTAACAAGAGCATTAAAACGGGCGTTCCCTTCAGTGAAAACAAAACGCACACAGGAGAAAGGGTATCCTTTGATAAAATAATCTATAAATAATCTTACAACCAAATTTAGTGTGAAATTAGAAATACTGTATTCTTTAACTCATGTAACAGGGTCTTTTATGTTAACATTAGACCAAAATCTTTGTTTGCCAGTGTGTTGTATGCAGATTCTCCTGAAAGTAAGTATTGAATCCATAGAGGAATGTGTTACAGTAACATACATTAGACATCATAAAACAGAATGCATATTAATATTTTGTGTTTACAAGGCCGTCAAAAGTAAATCAATATTTTTGGGGGGGCTCAAAGAATAAATGTGAATAAATCTGAATTGCATTTGCACTTTTGTAGGTTTTTTTGTGTGTTTTTCTTACATACAAATCCCCAGCCCGCCCCAGTCCCACCCCCCACTTCCGACGGCCTTGGTTTAGAAGAAAATTCAAATCTTAATTTAAGGATCCATGATTGGTATCATACATGATTGATGAATGTATAAATACTTAAAATTCTGGCCTTGTAAATCTGTATTTTTACTATGTCTAACACTGGTCAGAAGATTTTACTTGTCAAAGGAAGAGCATTTGACTCTCATTGTGTATGTCATTGTCAACACGAAACAATTTTATGCATCAAGTGGAGAACACTGCCACTCAATCAAGGATGTTCGAGAACAGACTTTCAACCATCATCTTAGGAAAGATTATCTTTTCATAAGGAAGGGGGGAGGTGTCTGGTGTAAATTTCTTTTCTGATGTTTTTATATACATATTAAAGGTGAAATAAATAACCTCAAAATGATGATTGCTGCAACTGATGAAGTCATGACTCAAATATGGGATAAAACTTCAGCAATGACAGCTGAAAATCAAGAATTGAGTGAATTAATGGAAGAGTATGCAAGAGAAGCTAGAGAGAGGGATGCATTATTTTCCTCATTAGTAAAAGTGTATGAGAATGAACTTGTACGGTTGAGATCAGAACAAAACCATGACACTTTATCTGAGAAACAAAGACGCATCATTATTGAAGAATTCAAGATTTTAGAAGCTATCACATGTACAGGTGTTCGAACAACCTTTGACAAGACATTGCCAGATCAACAAGTGTTAAATGACAGTTTCTTTAAAGAATTTGTCGTAATATTTCAGGAAAAATGCCCATTGCTGCAGAATGTTGTCGAGACACTTTTGGTTAGCAATCTGCATCAAACAAATATTCATAAGACTGTGGACTACAAAGTTTTATGTGGTACTCATGCTTTGTCATTGCTGTTGAATGTAAGGAGTACAACAGGAAAAAATGATTTTCCACTGTTCTTTGGGCTTTTATGCATCTCGTATGGTGCAGGAAAGCAATTTATCAATATGCTCCACTCCATTGGATTATGTGTTCATTGGGATACAATGTAAGTGTGTTATGCATATACCCTATTATTTTTAAAAAACTAAAAACGTTTAAAGCATCCTATTTTAGAATTAGTTTAAAAATTGTAGTGACCAAGATTAAATTGATAGACAGGTATCACTGGGACTGTTTGCAGTCCGGGCTTGACTTATTTACTTGTCAAGTTAAGAGTGCTGCCATTCCATATCATCTGTTAATTAAATTGTTATCTAACATGTCACTTGACATCCTCTTCAGTGGGGGGGGGGGGGCTGAGCCCCCTTGTTAAAATGTCATGCCCTCCCCCCCCTGACTCGTACCCAGTCATCAATTACGATTTATATAGATCGGTGGACGGAGGTTTGCATTTCCCATCATGCACCATTATTTTGTTTAATCCTCATTTGAGGGACTGGGTACGAGTCAGCTCCCCCCTATAATTTTTGAATAATCTTAAATGAGAATGGTTTACATCTACAAAAAGCCGTACAGAAACCTTGAATTATATACCCTTTCGAGACGCTCAGAATATTTTATATTACTAACAGCAATTGTTTTAATAGGCATAATTTTAAATGTTTGTCCCACAATTACTGGAAAAAAACCCAACAAAATTTAGAATTTCCAAAATATCATAATGTAAACACCCCCACCCCCCGCCAGTTCAAGACACTTTTGGAGAACAGGGACAAAACTACCCTGGTGTGTATGTGGGGGGGGGGAGGTGGGGTTACACCCCCTGTCTCTATCCCATCGGGTATACCCATACATTTTAGTCAGGCAAATTTTGAAAATATTTGAGTGTCTTGTATTGAAAAGTAATAGTGGTAGGAAAAAGTGGTAGTGAAAAATGCTCTCCTCACCAACAATCATTAATTAGGGACTGATCAAATGTTCGTCCCTCAGGACCGACTTTGGAAACGCCCTTTAGGTCGGGCAAAACAAGCTCCCCCCCCAGCCGTAATACAGAAGTTTTGCCCCCTGTTGGAAAGCACCCCTTGTTAACATTCCAGGACTACACCACTGATCCTGTTAACCTTTAAGTGGCAATGCACCCTGATGCCATATTTATTATTCTATTTACAATCATTTATAATTTTACTCTGTCCAATGCCAAACGATTTTACTTGTCAAGGGGAGAGTGCTGCCACTCAATACTGTAGCTCAATAAACACTACTCACTCAACCTTAGAATGTCAATTGTTTTGTTGAAATGTTTTAATGCTCAAGGGAAACGTTTTGTTGTTACACAATGTATGTTTTCAAGGTGGTGGCACTGTACGTATGTTGTAAAGGTCATTTTTTAATGTTGTCAAGGTTATTTGTAAAACAATAGCCTTCAGCCTTGACAACATACAGTAGTTCCATCGCCTTGACAACATTCATTGCACGATGACAAAACATTTCTCTTGAAATTTCAAACATGTTGACCAAACAATTGTCTGTAGGCTATGCCCAATTTTTTGTAGAATGAACTATCTGACAAAGCGTCTTGACCATTTTCAATTGGTAATTGATGAACATGTGCCAAATCATGTCCCAGTTATCTTCTTGATGGATAATGTGAATTTGTATCGAGGAAACAAGCGACATCTTCGTTTATTGAAGAATTTGGGGCCTGTGATGTGGAATCTGACGGTACGTGGAGTGCTAATTCCTGATACATCACAAATTAAAGATTTGCTTGATGATCGTACTGCAGCAGAAGAGCCGCAAAGACCACTGAAAAACTTAAATGCTGAAGATATTTTTATTGGTACGTTTCATAAACAACAGAACTATAACCAGCTTTTATCTGAGTGTTACTGTAAGTGGAACTAACCCCAACTATGAATTTTGGTTTTAATAGACCTTTTATTCATTTTTGACCCAATGGCCTCATTTTCGCGCGTTTGCCAGTTTTGGCATGACAGACGCAAATGAAGGTTATATTCCCATGTTTCCTTTACGATTTGGTTCCTGGTCTAGTGTGATACGAAGTGAAAGAGTAAAGTATGGCGCAACTTAATGGGCTAAGATGAGGTTTCTATTTGTTTCGTATATGTGATACTTATGCAATTCTAAATATTACGTCTACACAGCGAATGAAACTTCATCTTAGTCTGCTTTTTCACTCTCAATATCCGTAATTCCTACCACGATTCCATACGAAAAACAATTTGTGGGTGGTACATGTTGCACTGTAAGACCTGTAACACTGTAAGTTATTTGATTTTTCTGAAAAATATCTACCAGCACTTTTGCCATCTGCTCATGTGTAGTATTTATTTGTACTTGCGTGCATGAACACTGTTTTTATGCATTTAGAAAACAACCCGGATCACCTTCATATATGGAACGAAGCCAAGAATTTTCACTATCTGAACCTGCTGGATGTTGGCTTGAACAAGCTTCCACTGCCATCAACCGACGACTATGCTTCAATGACTGAAACCGAATGTATGACGTGGTTGTCAAATGCCAACTTTCAAGATGTACAGGATATTGTTAAACTGGATATACGTAATTCATGCCTTGTTAATGATGAGCAAAGTCCCAGGTGCAACGAAAAATCCAACACTTTAATCCTCCCTCTTTCATTGGAAGACAACTCCACACTAACAGGTGGTGCAGCTTGCTTGGCTGAATTTGGAAAAGAATTTAGAATTCCTTGTAACCACAATGACATTACCTTGCCTTTTGATGACAAGATAGAAAACTTTTCAATAGAGTCAGCACGAAAGCATCATGACTTTCTGCTTAGGGTGCAAGAACACAAGAAAGAAATGGAAGTACTAGTGGAGAAGCTAATTTTATGTGAAAAAAGCCTGGATACCGATGATGTTGGGATCGAGGAGGATGAAGAGAAAGATGCCGAAAATGAAGCTGGAGAGAATCAACAATTCCAAAAAGTAGATGGAAAGTTTCAAAAGGTTGTAGATAAGTTGAGTGCCAAGATATGGAGTGCACATCAGTCCAGTGATCCAGATGATTTGAGCAGACTTGTCCAGTATATGCAACTAAATAGAGATTCATGGGAAAAAGCAGCTAACCACCATGGGAGTACCATTTTGCACCATGCCGTAGAAGAAGAGAACTTAACACTTATAAAAACTTTACTAAATGTGGGAGTAAATCCCAATGTGAAGGAAAAATGTGGGGCAACTCCATTGACTTTGGCCATTATAAAGAAAAATGAAGAGATTGTAAAATTACTGTTGGAGAGTTACGCTGAGTATGATGACAAATTCTACACCTCTGTTCCTGGACCCAGAACGATGGCACGAAAGTTAAATATTCCATCTATTGAACAGTTGTTTGATGACCTGTCAACGGATGAGACCCACTGCGACAAAGTCATATGGGACATCGTTGAAGTAGCCACAGTGGGACATAAACACGGTATTCATACACCTATAAATTTCGATAATGATACAGAAGAAGAAAGCTCTCAAGTACATACATCTAGTTATGACAGATCGAGACCAGGAAACAAGACATTAGTTGTCGGAGATCAAGGAACAAATAAGATAAATCGCAGTGTTAGAGCGAAGTCTGCCGGTGCTTATGACTGGGTTGGTGAAGTTCCTGGAGATATGCACGCCAAAGGTAAGGACTGTACCACCAATCTAGAGTAGAAAGGTACAATTTCCGGGAGTGTTTATCTCCCCATCCATCCTCCGATTTTCAGGGTCCGGTTGCACGAAAGCCAGATACCTGACCTAATGTTTTAAATGGGCTGATGGCGTGGTTGGGTGTTCAAACCTAGTTGCAATAATACAACTTAGTCGAAGAGCAAACAAATATAACCACGCCATTGTACGATGAAAACTCTAAGTATTCCCAGTCAATTTTAGCAAATATTTCAAGCACTAAACAGTGAAAAATACATCGCAAATTTCGTTAAAATTTGTGACGCCAATTTCGTAGCTGCAAATGTAAAAAAATACAAAACAAAGACGAAAAACACTTACCTTGAATATTTTGTAGTGGCTTAGGCATGTTTTTAAAACAATTAGACTAGTTTATGCTTCAGGCAAAACAACAAAAATGCCGAGAACTTTGGCAATATTCGCAATACGCGTGACGTCACGTTTTTCAACAAGGATCAGTCAATGACTTCAGGAAGTTTCGTATCCAGTTATTTTACAATCCATGGTCATACACAGACAACAGCAAAGTACCAGTAATAACGGTATACTAGTATATGGCCCAAAAATCCGTGTAAAAACGCGCGATAAACATACGTACAGTACATGTGTATATTTCGTAATATAATATAATATGTTTACTCTTAGTTTATAGCGGATAATTTGTTTAATAAAACACCTTATCCAGTATATATCACGTTATTCTTTATACCAGATTATCTGTTTGTAAGTGCTTGACATGTCATATGATACCTTTCACTGCGCCTGTATAAGTATTTATTGTTATTTTAAACAATAGTACTTTGTTGTGATTTACACAGGCTATTTCCTAGAAGTTTGCAAGAAAACTATGGGCCCAGGAGGTTTTATGTGTGTTCTTCATCATGTGATTAAAAGGCATAAATTGAATGATGCTGCATTTGGCGATAAAAAGTTTCAAAATCAAAATCTTGGGAAGATTGATGAAGCTGTTCGAGATATCTGCATGGCGTATGGATTAGCGGCTGTTCAGTTGTATAAGAAAAGCGAATTCTTTCCTACAGAAAGTGAACTTACCGATCACCTAAATCGATTTAATAATCATAACCAACTACTCCTCGAAACCTTCAAGCGATGGCTAGCCAAGGCATCCGAAAGTCGAAAGTTTGCATATCAAAGCCAGATGATTACTTTATTTGGTCCGTTGCGAGACTTGTACAAAACCAGCATTAGAGAGGGTGATGGTGTTGCCCGTGAAGCTGTCTGGATGTTGATGCTTCCTTTATTTGCCCAGCTGCAGAAACGAAATTACTGGACGGAGGCTTTTGTCCATGTTGTGAATCTAGTTGCAGCATGGCCACAAGCGACTAGAAAGATGCTGCAACACAATTGTTCGGTCAATGTGAAGGGTAGACAAGGCCATTGTTTAGCTCTGGATGAATGGGTTGAAACGTACATAGTGTTACCGCTAAAGAAATATGCATCAGGTAAATAAAAATATTTTCATCACCGTATCGGTATTAACCACTGGGCACTGGTATCATCATTGTTCCAAGTTTTAAAAAGTCAAAGCCGGTTTATTGTCACTGTATTACTATCAAGGCCCGTTTACATTTGCAATTTTATGTGCGATTTTTCTTCTAATGCCTACTTGATCAATAAGTTATGAACGTTCGGATGAGATATCATCCGTACATATACACATACTCTTTCATAACTCGTCCACTCATTCACAAGCAGCAAAAATCGCAAGTGTAAGTGGGCCTTAAGTATGGTTATTTTGAAAGTAAAAAAATTATTCTTAAAATTATGGGGAATTGTATTGCAGGTCACTCAAGCATCAACATGCTGAAACGGTTGATGGTTAATATTGAGGCATTCAGCACAATACGAGCAGCGTATTCCAGCCCTAGTGCATTTGATGTTCACCCTACGTCCCGCCACAAAGAGCAAGACCCTATCCTTGATCAACTAAAGGCGATGTGGTTTTGTTTGAAGGAGAACGTTATCTCTGATGATGCCAGTGATGATGTCATACATAAGATGACCAAAGAGGGAAATTGTGAGGGTAATGTTCAACAGTCACTGATTGATGTTTATTCGAAAGGCAAATTGAAAGTAAAGCAACAGTTTTCTCGAATGTTGTATGAAAAATTTAATGTATTTGTTTCTGAACAGTCTGATAATGAAAGCATTGACAGTGCATGATTGTCATAATTGAAAGAGATAGTATTACAACAATAGAGAGATTTACAGGGATTAGCCAATTGCCTGTTTTTCCATAATTTCCACGGGTACACTTATAATGTAAACAGGCTATAATCCCGTGAGGAATCGTTAAAGCTATTTGTAGTTCATTACATAACTATTTGTAGTACACAAATTTAAAATCCCTGTCTAAAACTTGTGATGCTTTTTCACCAAGAACAAGGAGTGGTGTCGTTTTAGTGTCTGAGACAGTTCTTAGTTTCTCTTGTAAAATGCCACCAGTAATCAATAAATGAATAAATTTGTACATTGTTTTACTATTAAAGTCTTTAGAACCACTCCCATGATTCTGTGCATTTACATAACCTTTATTTACAATTTCCTTCGATCTCGATCCCCGATATGTCAGTGCCAAATATTTAACACTAACATTTGAATCAATTTTAATCATCGACTGCACACATGCCACAACAGATTTTGCATGTTCAGTTCCGTTTAGTGGAGGATTTGGAGGTTGTTTGCAAACATCACATCTCTCATTACAACTAGAAGAAGATGCACCATCAAAGTATCTCACAAGTTGTGACTTCCTGCATGAAGGAATCATACAGTAATCTACCATGTGATTCAGACTTTTTAGGCGTTGTTGTTTCTCACCTCCATCGGGTAGGGCTGACATGTTCTTCAAATGTATAGTCCTGTCCTCAAACTTGAAAAAGACTATGCAGTGAGCTTCCGTTCCATCTCTCCCTGCTCGACCCGACTCTTGAACATAGTTTTCTATACTAGGAGGAATTCCATTGTGAATCACAAACTTGACTTTTTTTTGTCGATGCCCATTCCAAAAGCGACTGTAGCACATATAACATCTATTTTCCCAGCTTTCCAATTCTCTGCAATTTGATGTCTCTTATAGACATCCAGACCAGTATGGTAATAGGTAGCGTTGATCCCAGACCTCTGTAGTTGATATGCCACTTCAACTGTGTCTTTACGTTGTTGGCAATATACTATTCCACAGTGCCATCAAATTCATTCTTGACCAAACCAACTAGAGAGGAATGGTCTGATCCCTGCCTGTCAATAACTTGGAACACAAGGTTTGGTCGATCTGACGATTGTAATAGCACATTTACATCCGGCAACTGGAGATGATTAATTATCGCATCCCTGGTTCGTTGTGTGGCAGTACCTAAAAATTTAAAATAACGGATACAACCATCAAAATGTATCTAAAAGTTATTTCATTTTTGAAAAAGAAATATGTGAACAACATTGGGACTGCCTCCTTTTTCAAGTCAAATTCTGTATTGTCCGAATAGTTTGCCTATGCATTAGATTAAAATACGGTGAGGTTTGTGGTATCACTGGAATGAAACATATCAATGTATATGTTAAGTATATTTATATGTGCACAATCTTTGCCAAAAACTATGGAACAAGTGCTGTAATTTCACATAATTTGAAAGGCATAGGGTTCCCCCACTTCAGCATTCAGTCGACAAAAATCTTGATGCCTACAGTAGTTGCAAGACACCAACATTGAAATGGGTGGGCGGGGGGGGGGGCAGAAGGAGGGATTAAAATGTGTATCAATATTCAAGAAATGGTATGAATACATCTGAACACAGATAAAAAGTAGATTGTCCCATGGTCTCCAATGGCAATTGTAAAAGATGGCAGTGCAGTGAATAAGGTGCAATTTTCCCAGATGTGTCATGCCTCATTATTTTACTACAATTTTACTTGTTATGGGGAGAGGCATGTGCATTAATTGGTTAATTTTAAAATGTAACTAATAGAGATTTTATAGATTTGATCGATCATGCTCATTAAACCAATGTTTCAGAAAAATAATGCAATTCCAAGAAATCAGAGATTCTGGGTGGATGATGAGTTTTAAGATGGCAATTGCAAGAACTATAGAATCATAGGGATGTGATTAAAGGGAGAGTTACCAACTGGAGAGTTATGTAAGAGTTACTGCGATTTGCAGTTGAGCTTAGAGACAGTTTTACCGCATAGTTTGATTGTTGAAACACACAAGTTACCAAGGGCAAATTCAAATGTTGTCAAGCGGAAAGGAGAATGTTGTCATGGGAAATTTAGGACTTTCGGCCAATCATAGTGAAGAAGGCGTTGCTCCAATGAAGGGTGGACCAGGCTGTTGCGGTATATCAAAATAGTCACAAAAGATCACATAAAGCATGTGGCATTATATAATTGTTTATCTTCATTAGTGTGATTATATAATGGTTCATCCTCATTAGTATTATTTTGTAGTTGTATTTAAAACTATTCAAAACACTTGTTGTCATGTTTTATCAGACATAAAATGCTCGGCTGCACCTCATGTTTTATATCTGATAAAACACTCCTACTGGTGTTTTAAATAGTACTAAATATTTTGTGACTTTGCTAATTTGTATATTTTTTATATACAGTAGTCGACATTTTTTTCTTCAGAATATCTAAATTTTCCAATACCACAACAGCCCATAGGCTGGACCTTTACTATTAAAGCTTTACAATGGGGTCATTCCAGCTTACCTGTCATAGCAACAATAGGCACTCCAAATTCCTTTAATTTTCAGAGTTCCCGATAACTGGGCCTGAAGTTAAATCCCCATGAATCGATACAGTGGGCTTCATCAATCACAATAAAATTAAGTAATTGCTTTTCAGCCAAGTCTTGCAATCGTGACAAAGTTTCGTTCGACAGTAAAGTCTCTGGGTGACAAATAAAAACTTGTACTCAAGTGGGCTGGATGTTAGCTTATGAAATGCAGTTTCTCTTTCCTGCATGTCCATCACGGACATAACATAACAGACGGGTATTCCCTTTGAACGAAACCTTTGGCATTGGTCAATTAGCAATGACAGCAAGGGGAAAACAACCACTGTCACTTTCTCTTGCAATAAGGCAAGGACAGCATAACATAAAGTTTTTCCTCCTCCTGTTGGCATTACAAGTATAGGGTATTTTTCCTTTGTAAAATACTGTCAATTGCCTGTTTTTGTAATCCCCTAAAGCTTTCAAATTGGAATATGGCACGTAAAATGTCGAGATTCGGATCACCAGAAGGTAGGATAGCAGCCGTATTGACATTGTTCCTATGGCAATGTTCTTTCTGCAATGGTGTTGCGTCCACATATAAATCCTATAAAAACAAATATATTCACATCATTTGCATGTATGTCAAATTTACTACAGAACTTAAAGATGATGTCCACTCCTGTGCACATGCGCAAACTTTGTTTTCATTTTGAACTGCTATATTTGAAAAATACTAACTGAATATCTAGCTAACAATTTTCTGGTCCGCTATACTTGTAAATGAATATAAACTGTACATTTCAATTCAACAAAAAGTTCGAAAGATGCGAAATTTGGGCAATGTTTATATCTGCCTGTGTGTCCCGCTTTGTTATGAGCAGAACTGATGTGCAGAAAGGAGTGGACATCATCTTCAAAGATCTGTAAAATCAAACTTTTTTGAATTGAAACATAGGAAAAGTGTTAGATAATTATGCAGTTAGTATATCATATTTACAAACATAGCAGTTCAGAAATGTAAACAAAGCGTTTGCTTACATTGCGAACTTTACAGCATCTTTTAACAAAAGTGTAATCAAGTATAAATTGGATGTTATATGTAGTCAGTGATTTGTGGTGACAAATATAGAATGAACTAGAACTATTACATGTAAAAAAACTGCCAGCTTGCTTTTAGGATTTCCACAAATATTTAAAAAAAAACAACGAAGAATTATGCTGTTTCTCAAATTGCACTAGCAAGTTTTTATATAAAAAAATATATACCAGTATCTATTAACATATTAAGTTCCTACCTTCTTCACAAATGTGGCTTCTGCAATGACCACAGTCATATCTTTACCAGACTCCGTCTTGGTAGAAAACCACACATTGAAAGTGGCAGTGATGTTTCCTCCTTTTACATCAATTGGTTCACCTCTGTTGCCCTTGGAGTATGGTTTCAGATATCCAAAATGCAATAGAACCATTCCAACAAGTTTAGCAGCCTCTTTCGCATCTTTTGCAGCGACATATAAATTGTGACAATCCCCGTGCTTCGTAAATACATTGTATCCGATGTAAGGTTCGCTCTACTAAAAATATGTAAATTATAAACAGCTTTGAGTCAACATGTATATTTATGACGCGTCCTCACAGAAAAAAATTTGCATATATATCCGCAAACATTGTGCTTACCAAGTTACGACGCGCGGTAGACAACTTTTCCAAGTGTCTCTTCGTTTCTTCGCCATGCAATGACTTTAGCACGCATTTTGCTTCATCCACGTGTTTGTCTGTGAAAGTTACACCACTATGTTTCGCTCTAAAATGCTGAGCGAGCCCGTTCACCTCAAAAAAATCATTTCGAAAATCTCGTCTACATTGCGGAAGAGGACATGGAATCTTTTCATTTATATAGGCGGCATGAAACGGCCTCTCGTGAAGTCTCGCTGCATTTACACAATCATCGTTGGCGCCCGCCATTGCTGTTTCCGCCATGTTTCTTTGCGATCTGCCAGTTGTCAATTTTTCTTCGTCGTTCCCATCATGCAACGCAAAACTCCGTACACTGATCTATATAAATCGTATTGACGACTGGGTACGAGTCAGATTCCGGCCAGTTCCCTTGATTCCTGGTCGGTGAATTTCCCATCGCGATGAAATTGTAAGACGCGATCATGAAATTCAAGATTATCGTCGATATTTTCGTCGTGAATTTCGTCACGCACGTCGTTCGAAATATCGTCGTAGATCGATGGATTTCCCTCCGGAATTTCTTCTTCCGTAATACTGACAAGTGTTTTTTGATGTTCTTCCGTTGCTTTTTCGAAGGCAATTCTAAAATTTCTTTGACTTTCTACGACCGTTACATTTTTGTCTGTGGACAGTATGTATTTTCCGCTTCTGTCGATGTAAGCAACTTTAACATTATCAAATGACAGCCAGTGTCCGTCGTCGAGATTTAGTCTGGAAAAAAGTCTTTTGAATTTGGACCGTCGTTTGGACTTAGCCTGTATTCATTCGTAAAAAGTCTTTTCACATATTCTGTTTTTAGATTTACGGACGATCCGGTCGTATACAAGGAATTGGTTTCCCTCTTTCTTTTTGTGGACTTATCATTTTCATTCTGTCTTTTAAAATCCAGCAGCCATTTTTGATCGTCATGTCTATCCAGATCGTCCAATGCCGTTTCGTAAAAGTCATCGTCGTCCAGATTAGTTTCGTCATTTTCTTTCCACGGATCGTAATCCCCTCCGATCTCATCGAGTTCGATAGCTTCGGCCATAGTTTATTTCTTACTCAAATCCAATGATAATTCATGTTCGCAAAATCTTCCCAGAATTTCCAGGTCGTCATCGTCGGGATCGATAAGTTTATACATGTTCGGATCGCCGCGAAATACTTCCGAGACGATATAAACATCGTCGGAATAATTCGGAGTGTATCCCTTGACAAAAGTATCGCGGTAAATTTGATATCGGACACGATCTCCGACTTTGAATTTTGGTTCGGGGAAATGGGATAAGCGATAACCATAAAGTTTTGTCCAGACTTTGTCTTTACTGGTTTCGTTGACGTCGGCCGGTTTCATTCCAATCGTACGATGTTTGGAATGATTATACGAGGCAATAAAATTATCCAAGACATCGATCCATCTCATAGACTTTTCCGTAAATCCTTGTTCGGTAAAATATTTCCACATTCTTGTTTTTAACGTCCTGTTAAATCTTTCGACGACGGCTGCTTTTTTTCCAGTCAGTCGCGTCGAAAAATAATGGATGTCGTGTCTCTCCAGTAACGCTTTGACTCCGTTATTGTAGAATTCACTCCCTTCGTCAAACTGAACGACTTTAGGATATCGTCCGAATCTTTCATGAAATTGGTCCAAGATCTTTTCGACGGCCGGGACCATATCTTTCGTTCCTTTTCGATAGGCAGGCACAACAAATGCATACCGACTTAAAATTTCGATAGATGTTAAAATCCATTTATAACCTTTATTTGCACGACTGTATTTTTGCATATCTACTAAATCCAACTGTAATTGTTGGGCAAGTCCGTCGACATACGTTCGTTGCGTTTTGAAATGAACTCGTGTCGGTTTGTGAACGATGTATGTATTTTGTGTTTCTAACCATGCTTTCACTTTTTTACGCGTGACACCGGGAATATCTTCTTTCACAGCATCTCTGTAAAGTTTTTCCATCGACATGTATCCACCGTTGACGTTAAAATAAAGTTCGCGTAAACCAAGATCCATTGCATCCATAGTTTATAATAAATGAAAAAGATTACAGTTTTTATTCGGGACGGAAAAACTACGATGAAATTACAGAGTCCGTTGACTTTAACACCCGCATCCAAACTCTACGTAAAAACGGTTGCATTATTCTGGACGTACGAAAATATTCGGAAGGACGACAATAATTATTTTTCCGTCGACAAGAAAAAAGTGATGTTGAACAGCGGATACTGGACGTTTAAACAATTACGTCAAAAATTAGAAAGTCACGGTCTCGTCGTCGAAGATTTTCCAGACGGACGGATAAAGATCGGACTTGGAAAAAGTGTCAAATCTTTTAATCCGTGGAAATTAGGTCGTCTGTTAGGATATACGACATTTTCAGAATTACATCCGAGTCAACATCCCGTCGATATTCACCAAGGATTACGTTACGTTACGATCGGTTGTAATTTAGCGAACCGATCGCAAAATATAAATCCCGACGGTAATCCGAGTAGTATCATATCGTCTCTTCCCATCGACGCAACGAAACCCTTATTCGGCACGACGACAAAATACAACGACATCGAAAGCGAAGTACAAGCCGATGCGGGGATTTACGACGAACTTCATTTCGATGTTGGATCCAACGTCGATGGAATTAGGCCGTGCAATGCATTAATAGATCTGTATATCATCTAAGAAATAAAAGATGGAAAAGGAAGAACAAGTTTTACGTGACTATTACGGAAAGAATTACGAAAAGGTTCGGAAAGCTTATCCTCTAGAAATTCAGAAACTTAAAACTAATTTTCTTAAAAAATACCCGGATGCAACATTATCCAAGTTTGAATTTAACGTGACGTTTGTAAAAGATGGAACGTTAAGTTCGACCGGAATTTTTTACAAGGTGGACGAATTCACCAGTTACGATATTACATCCGAAACATTCTTGCATAATTCGGATTGGACTAAATAGTTATATTGGAAAGATGGATGGCGAAATGTTAAATCCGATATGATATTCCGTCCGAATTTAGACTTTGCCGTAAATTTTCACACGTTTCCTATTTACGTCTCGGAAACAGATCCTTTTCCGTGGATTTAGAATATACGAAACCCGAGTACGCGGGAACGGGAAATTTTGTAAATTTAATTCCGTTCGACTATCATCAGAATTCTTATTTCAGATCGTTGGCAGCTTGTTACATCGCGACCTTTAAATCTGGAATATCCGAAAATCATCTGAATAATACTTTGTCCGATTCGCATCTGATCACATCCGTCGTCAAATTTCACGTTCATTATCAGATGGAAAAATTTATGAAAGATCCAAAATTAATAGATCATTATTTAAACGAAGACGATCTTCACGTTTTAGGAAAGAACCACGACCGAAACGTGGAAACGTCGAACATTATCTTCGCATGCAAACATCGGAACGTGGTATTACAGATTAGCCGCCGATACGCGTCGTAAAATTCGGAACCGGCATTACGTTCGAACTCCGCACGGTGGAACATTCATCGAGTACGAATATTTGACAAAAAGACTTCCGAAAAATGTGACGGAAGATTATAAAATATTCATTCCGAAAACGTCGCACGGATTAACAAGAATTGGACAACGGTTATTTCAACAGAGTCTGGAAGTTTACGTGTACGCTGTATTAGGATCACAAGCAAAAACCCGGTGGAGTATTACGGGACAAGGTGCAAAAAGTTTACAGACCCAGGATGTGTTTCGAAAAGTTTTGAAGGATAGTATTCTTGTAAACGAAATTACGACGATCATTCGAAACATGCGTACATCGATCGCAGATACGAACGTCGTGTTAAATTTTGCGATCATGCCAGGTCTGATTCTCATTCCGTCCGACATGCGGATTTTACAAAAACCCTTGAAAGGTTACAGTAATATTTTAACGCTGGCAAAAAGTGGCATGAGTTTTGGAAAAAATGACGAGGTGAATTTTACAAAGACTCCAACAAGTCCTGCGACAAGTCCCGTGGAAAAACCAACAAGTCCCGCGAAACATCCCGTGACAAATCCCGCGAAACATCCCGTGACAAATCCCACGGAAACTTCAACAAGTCCCACGAAAACTTCAACAACAAAAAAATTCATCCGCTTTGAAAATTCTAGCCGTTGCATCGACGGGAGTTGCTTATTTTCTATTGAAATAAATGAGTATATTAATGGGACACGACTACTTTGACGAATCCGAAGATCTGGAGAAAAAAGTGACGGAGATCGAAAAGACACAGCAGGCGAATACGGCCGAGATCGTAAAAAATGTGAGTGCGATCGGTGAACTGAACGATCTTGGAAAAAATTACGTTCAGTACGACGTTCCGCAAATGACCGGTGCTCCGGGGTTTTACGAAATCGGTTTAATTTCCGTGACCGACAGGAAGAAAGCAAAATTTATCACTTTCGGTGTGGGTGGATTCGAAATAAGTTCCAGGGCTTATTCACCCTTTTATGGATTTTACGATGGAAGCAGCGGTAACGTTGTTATAACCGCAGTAACACAGCGGAGCGCGCTCGTTCGTACGACGTTTACGTTTGCGTACGGTAGTAACAAAATATTAATAATCGGCCTGGAATTTAAAAATATAAGTTCGGCGGGAAGGGTAACCAACCGGACGGAAGCAACAGATTTAAAATGTTTTCTCGTTACGACGTAAGTAGGTGTCGACTTAGAAAAACTTTTTAAGATCTTTCTCATCTTAAAAAATTCGCGTCAGCACGTACCCACTTCCCACCCCTAAAATCCCGACCGTCATCGTTAAATATTTTTGCATTTCATCCGACGGTTGATAATAATCTTCGAATTTTGGTGTACGCTCCAATGCATTTAAATCCTGTCGACGATTATAATTTCTTAATTCGTCCAACGTTTTATTCGTCTCTTCGATATCGTGATTTGCGTCCAAGATTTCTTGTCGTCGTCGTAATTATTCGTTCCGTCTTTTCACTTCGGATTCGTAAAATTTTTCTTTGGCCGCGGCTAATTCTTCCAATGCACGATTATGTCTTTGAACTTCTTCTTTGTACCCGTTTTGATTCAAGTGAGAAAATAAAAATCCCGCGCCTGCAAATGCGACCGCATTGAATAATCCACCGACTACTAAATTGGTTGTCATCTTGTTTATTTACCGATTGTTTTTGGAACGTAACCTTTGTCTTTGAGATAGGCCACGGCTACGGAACTTCCTGCCACGGCCACACCGAGTTTCATCGCACCTTCTAACGTCATCGGTGCACCCAAACTTTTTCCCGCGATCGTTTTGGCCGCGTACGAAATCCCAACGACTCCGGATGTTAAAAGTGCAGCATCGTATAAATCCTGAACGAGTTCTTTTTTAGTATCGGACATTCTCTCTTTTATTTCTTAAAGAAATAAAAAAAAATTTACTTACATCCGATAAAACTCTTCCGACTCTATAAGTTCCTGTTCGGCGTCTTCTAGATTCCTCCTAAGTTTATTTACCTCGTCCATAAGACTTGATACTTTTTTATCCCGTTCATCCAGTAAACATTCGAGACTAAAGGCCGGTTTATACGACAAGCGTTTTGGGCACGGCACCCCTGAAAATGGGCACCGTGCCAAAACCGCCACTTCGCTATTTACTCGTTTACACGACAACATTTTGTAAACACGCTTTTATGATAGGCACCGTGCCCATCGGAAAATGGCACCTCTACTTTCCGTTTACGACGGTATATTTTAAAGAATAAATATGTCGGACAGAAATAGAATTATATATTTATATTTACTGGAACGAAGAAGAGTATTATATGAGCCGAAAATCGAGGAAAAAAACCAATTCAATACTAGAAAAGTACTTTAAGGGCCAGCTCATATGGGCAAAAGTTATCCCGGTTAGCGAGAAAACTTTTCGACAAGTTTACAAGCGAGCCGTCTTGCCTTGGTATGAAAAGAATATGAAAAGTTACACTGCGTTCATATGAGACAAAAAGTTTTCCCGTGTACCGAGATCTCGCTTGTTGACACGCCAAGAACTCGGTGACCGGGGGATAATGTTTTCCCCATGTGCATGAACTCAACTTTACCGCTTAGCGGGATAACTTTCTGTCGTATCAGCATCTTTTCAATTCAATTGATATTCAGTGCGTGCCCATTGGAAAACGGCACCTTTATTTTCCGTTTACGACGGTATATTTTAAAGAATAAATATGCCGGCCAGAAATAGAATTATATATTTCTATTTATTGGAACGAAGAAGAATATTATATGAGCCGAAAATCGAGGGAAAAAACAATTCAATACTAGGAACGTACTTTAAGGGCCAGTTCATATGGGCAAAAGTTATCCTGGTTAGTGAAAAAACTTTTCGAAAAGTTTACAGGCGAGATCTCGCCTTGGTATGAAAATAATATGAAAAGTTAGTTTACACTGCGTTCATATAAGACAAAACGTTTTCCCGTGTACGCACCGAGATCTCGCTTGTCAAGTGATAATGTTTTTCCCATATGAACACAACTCTAGTTCCCGCTTGGCAGGATAGCTTTCTGTCGTGTCAGTAACTTTTCAATTCAATTGATATTCAGTGCTATGTCAGTCACAGCCGGAAACTTTACCCGGTTAGCGGAATAACGTTTCTCCATGCATGTGAACAGAACAAAAGTATATTTGGCTAGTCGAAAAGTTTTCTCGTTAACCGGGATAACCTTTGCCCATATGAACAGGCCCTTACAGACGAAAGGAGTTGTTTTCTCGCATAAATGTTGTGCCATCTTGTATTCACCCACCACGAATTCGAGAGGTATGGACGCATCGAACGACAGCTATTTGCTACGACCTAGTTACTGCTCTATTCAGCGACGAACAGTGGTATCAAAATTTCCGAGTCAACTAGAGCAACATTTACATTCTGTGTTAAATTTGTTTTTTAACTTTGTTTTTTTTTAATTTTTGGCAAGTTGTAGTTTTTCGCCGCTTGCTGCCATGTTGGAAAGAGGACAATTTGTTTTGCGCATGCTCCATGTCGAACACATTTTTTAGTTTTTTCGAAATTTGGGCACGGCACCCCTTGCTAGACGTGCCGAGACTACCTCGTGAGAAAGTCTCGGCACGTCTAAATTTTGCGGCACCGGTGCCGAATTTTGTCACGTTTACACGCCAAAAGGCAGAGGTGCCGTGCCTAAAATTTTGGGCACGGGTGCCCATTTTTAGGGGTGCCGTGCCCAAAACACTGGTCGTGTAAACCGGCCTTAAGAATCAGTCGATCACTCTTAGACAGTTTCGTTCTAGTCTGTCCGATCCCTTCCTCCCCTCCGGCTTCGACCTTCTGCTCATCCCGAACGAGTTCTTTTTTAGTATCGGACATTCTCTCTTTTATTTCTTTGGAAAAAGAAATAAAAAAATTTTCTATTGTTCTTGTTTCACAAGTTTTTCGTCTTCGAGTCTGCGTATCTCTTTATCCCGTTCATCCAGTTCATCTTCGAGTTCATCTATCTCAACCAGCAGGTATAATACCTTATCCTTAAGTTCTGTAATCTCTTTTTCCTGATCGCATACCTGAAATTCTTTTTTCTCCAGATCTTTCTTAATCTGCCTGATCTTTTCCTGTGCAACCAACCCACCTTTTTTCCCACGTAAAACTGCTTCCGGATCTTTTACAATATCACTTTTATAAACTAATTCACGACGTACTTCTGCCTGTTCGATATCACCACCAAGCTGTTGCAATTCACTGCCTTGATATTTTTTACTTTGTTTAAAACACCTGGTAACGTGTACGTTCCCGTTTTCCGGATAGACGGAAGGACATCTTCGAATACCCACCGCTGAAAATTCTCGGCAGCACGTAATTTCGAACGGGACACAAGACTATATAAACCGGGTTCGGTAACAAACACTGTGTTAGGTTGCTCACCACCGGGTACGCTAAGGGGTCCCCGAAACAGGGACCCCTTAATATTTTCGAGTGTGGTTCGCATCCATTCTTTAGTATGCCTAGTAACTGCGTTCTGTGTTCTGATGTAACCGAGAGCAGCCGCCAATTCACTCGCCGCAAAATAAAACGTGTCGCTACCATCGTCGGACCGAATGGTGGTAACTTCCTTGTTTCCGATCAACGCAGAATTCCTTAATACTATCATCTCCATTTTCCTTTATTAATTTATGAAATTATTTCATAGATCAATTTCGATTCGTGTCTTCCTACTCTCATTTTTCCAGGTCTTGTCCAAGGACCGGTAACTTCTTTCCCGATCCTTTTCGAATCGGATCGATGACAAATTCGTACAACCAGTACATTCCTACTCCCGAATGATAAGCTACATACTGTGCACCCATTTCATCGACGAGGAGTGTATGTGGAAATAAGTCGGATGGAATTTCTTCTCCCGTTGAATTCCTCAAACATTCCAGTGTGATTTTTCGATCCTCTTCGATTTTTCTAAGGATATCATCACGATCGGTGGTAACCCCGGTCACCGATAAGAGTTGTTCCGCTACGAGATAAATTTTCCCCTTGTCTTTCGTCGAAAAGAAACTGATGTATTTGAACGGTGGCTGGACTTTCATGAGACTGACTTGCATTTTCTTATTACAATCTTTTTCTAATCAAACAAGTCAAAAGATTTTTCGTTTTCCGGTGGGTTCTTCGAAGAAACATTATCTACAATTTCATCCACTTGTTTCTCAGAATTCCTCCCGTCGCGACTTTGCCACGAAAGATACAACGATCCCAATCCAATTCCCAATCCGAGTACCAAACATAATCTTTCGACGGAAATCCATCCTCCTTCGGTCATACAACTTTCGCGGGCTTCCTCCTTTAATTTTTCATCCAACCTTGCTCTTTTTGCTTCTTTGTAATGCTTGCTGTTTTTTCCTAATTTTTTTCCCGCTTCGACACGACGTGGATCTTTCACTTTCTTCGGTTGGTCTAAAGGTTTGGTCACCGAACGGATTTTTCTAAATTTGGTTCGCCTGCCGGTTCTGTCATTTTTCTTTATTATATACAAAGAAAATACTTTTTATTTTACTTGACTCTGTTTAAAACTTACTTGCAAGTAATTTAAGAACAGTCTTTGACTTTGTTACAAGTTGTTACCAAGACTTACTTGCAAGGAATCTGAGAATAGTCTTGGATTCTGTTATAAGTTGTTACCAAGACTTACTCCGTAAGATTTTATAAAAAGACACTAGGATATACAACAGTTTCCTTCCGATGCTTTCTGTACAATCCTATCGGCAAGGAATCTGAGAATAGTCTTGGATTCTGTTATAAGTTGTTACCAAGACTTACTCGTAAGATTTTATAAAAAGACACTAGGATATACAACAGTTTCCTTCCGATGCTTTCTGTACAATCCTATCGCGGGCAAGACCTATTACTCCCTCTGCTTCCGCGATAACAGGGGAATGTAAAGTTCCATCCCTTTTTCTTCGACAGACACTTTTTCAGGTTCTTTTAATTCCAAGTCAGAAGTAAATTCACAGGATCCATTGTATTCCAAGTCGATCCTGGATAATGTACGATCGACTTCGGGAATATCTTTATGACCTAACGCCAATGTATGAATCCTGTCGTTTAAAATATACCGTTTGTCATCCCTGACCGAAAGTGCTGTTTTTACTAAACGTTCGGTATAAATCACGTGCATATGACTTCGAAGGGTTGTCATTCCAACACGCTGATCCATTCCTCCGAGTAAAACATCCTTGTAATTTTGATGCGTCAAATCTTTTTTCACGACACATTTTTTAACACCCTTGCATTTTTTCGTCACTTTTCCATCGTCGCCGAGTGTAGAATAAGACTTTGGACGTAATCCTACAAATTCCTTAATCTGATCCGCACCCGTTTCGGATTTCATCATACCGATAACTTTCTTATTGATTCCACACGGAATCTCAGACGGATGAGATTTTGGAAAATTACTCGTGTCAAATTTCTGACGAACGTCTGGTGCGATGTCTTTAAAAAAGTCGTCGGTCGTTATCTCGTAATGAAGCGAATCCGTATCCGTGAAAAGAAGTTCTGCTTTCTCTCCATATTTTTTCTTCATGTAGTTGTAGTGAAAGTCGTACATCAACGTCTTGCTGATATCCAGGATGGCAACACCGACGTAAATAGGTTTTGCCAAACGGACGGTCGTCTTTCGCATGTGAACCAGCGCCAAGTGCTCGGTATATATGTCTGTTGAGACGTAATAACTTTTTTTCACTAGTTTGTTCCACTTCTTTTCACTGTTAACGAGCTTCACGTTGATACGATTGCGGACATTTTCCATCGTCTTTCCGAATACGGAATTATTCATCAATTTGAAAAAACTACTTTCAAAATCAGACTTGGCCCTTTTACGAAGATCGGTATTCAACTGAATATAATCTGCCATCCATGCTTTTTCTGAAAACATCAGACCGCGATGAACTTTTGTCACGATCAATCCCAATTCCACATATTTTTTCAACGTCGTATGATGAACGATATACTTTTTCTTATCGTTCAGATTCGGAACGAGTTTATCAACCTTTCCTATTCGAAGACGTTCCGGAGCCAACGGATAGTCATTGTGTAGATCGTGTAATTCTTTCGGATATTTTAAATCTACTTCGGCATAACAGCCTTTTCCTTCCGGAAGACAATCCCATTTTTTCAACCGATCTAAATTCATCCATTCAAAATTTCCGTAGGGAAGATTTTCACACATGGCCCATCCGTATAGATTGTTTGCATCCAGGTAGGGTAGAAATGTGCTTCCCTTTCCAGGATCAAAATCTTTCGTATACTTATTATTTGCAACGCCATATCATTTACTGATCATACAGATTCCACCACGCTTTCCCTTTTCGATAAAATTAAACATGCTCGGATCGGAGATTAAATCCAGACGGATCCGTGTTATTTTCAAACATGCATCCCATGCCAATCCCGGCGATGTATAATACCATGCAGGATCCAACTCGTAATTTTCCATACAGATCTCGCGGAATCTTTCCATGATATCTGCCAATAATAAACACGTCCACTTTTAGATAAAGATCGTGATAATCACGCATGGATTTTATATCGAACGACTTCCATACTTTTTGCGCATGTTCGTAATCTTCGTTCGTAATATCTTCGTCCGTTAAACTACTGTAAAATTCTTTCTGTGGTGGGAGAGACGGTTCGGAAAACTTCTTGAAATCATTCATCCATTCGTACGGATAGACACCTTTCCGTTTTAACATTCGACGTTGATCCGATGTGTAATTCTTCATCATTCCATCCGTCAACTTAAAATCATCCTCTTCTAAATCTCCTGCAAGAGTTCCTAACGACGATGCCAAGAACTTAAACGAATCCAGGAACCTCAGATTACGATATACAATTTTTGTCTCGTCTTTTTTATTCACAAATGTATCGACCGCTACTTTTTTCGTAAATGAAATATACTTTTCCGATGTCTGTGCGATACAGTTGATATCGCCTTCGCTTGCCCCAAAACATTTTACGACATGATGTGCATCGTAACCTGCCAGATTATGAAAAAAGACCGGTATAAAAGTTGGATTTTTCATTGCTAAATTACATCGGTTACATGCCGCGCCGCGATACTTACCCTTGTAATGACAATGGTCCTTTACTTTTTTATTGTCTTTTGTAAACGGTCCGCAACATGTGTAACACGACCCGGACGTTTCAAAATCATCGGTATCGTTCGGTTTCATTTTAATCGGAACGGGAATCTTAAATCTTTCGTAAATTTCTTTCGTATCCTTTTCCAGCAACTCGTAAAATTTTGCCATCACGTCTTCGTCTTCGTACTGTTGCGTGTAACTTACGTATTTCGGCGGATAAACCTCGTCGTCGAAACATTTGATCAGATATGCAAAACTACAAGCCTTGTGTTCTTGTGTTCTTTTCGTACTCGAATAATTCAGACTTTCTTTCGTGTCGTAAGAAAGAGGTTTCAATAAAGATTCCGTATCCGCATACACCACAAACGGAAAGTTGTGAATTCAATGATAATTCTTAAATTTTAAAGTACTATCTTCTTTCGGATACAGACATGTTTGTGCTTCGTGATCCAAACATAACTCTCGATGTTTTTCAAGTAACTTTTCAGATCCAAAAGGATTTAAACAATTGTTACAAATATGTTTTTTACATTTATGCTTACTCAACTGTTTTCCCATAAATTTCGATAGATCCGTAACGACACCAAAATGTTCGTCCCATAATACCAAGTTGATCGAATCCGGTCTTCCCGAAATATACCACGGGTAAATTTTCAAATCCTCGTCAAATGCAAAAACATTGATGTGAACACCCGGATTCTGTCTTTCAAATTTAACGATATCTCCCCTTCCCGTCGGAAATTTTATACCGTCCCAATTTAATTTCTCCGTCGGAAGACGAAGAATTTTTGTAATCCGAGCAGGATCCTTTTTTACTGGATTCAGTGCACGTGTCACCGCCCACTTGAAACATTGGTCGTCGGCATTTTTCATGTTGATGATTCCCTTATTTTTCGTATATCCTTTTGGTAATTCAATAAAATTAGAATCGCGAACCGGATCATATTCGCCGATCTCAATCTCTAACCGAACTATTCTGTCCAGCACCCAGTTACTACCGTTTTTCTGATATTTTGCAAAAGATTCTAATATCTTTTCTCGCATCTCATTCCAAATCTCACCTCTTAAACTTCGTCCCGTAATTCCATAAGTTTTTGATGAAAACCCAGACGTATCTCTCGTCACTTCTCCAGTAACCGCATTCACCTTTTTCATAATACAGACTAAAGTCACGCGTACCTTCTTCGATCCATCGATCGAATCTACGAGATCGCAAACGTGACGACCGGTCATATCTAAAAAATAAGGCGGATCGTATATCTTATTCGGTGTGATCGTATACTTTTGTGCACGTCTTCGGAACGAATGTTGCTGTAAAACGGGTGTAAAATCTTCGCCGCGAATTTTCATCTCGCCCGACATTAATTTACGATAACGATCTTCTGCATACTTTTGACGTGCCTCTGCATTCTTACGAAGTCTTTGTGTTTCCTTCTTCCATTTCCGAGCTTCGGATTTCCAGTAAGATACTTCCTTACGACGTCTTTTTTCCTCTTTCTCGGTATGTTTTTCCCACTTTTTTCCTCGTCAAGTTTCCATGCCTTTGCTTTTTTGGTCGGTTTCAATCGCCTTTCTTCCTTCCTATGCTGTTTTCGACGATCCTCAAATTCTCTTGCTGCAGACTTTATGCTCTTTCCAAAATTCTGCGGTCTTTGTACAACAGGAGGAGGACCGCTAATTTCCTCACGAACCGACCGAAGACCTTCCGGTCGCGGCCGATCGTAAAAATCCGGATCGTTACTTGCCATCTTTTTATTATACTCGTATATTCATATAGATAAAAAAAAAAAAAATTTCCATGCTCCGAACGAGTATGGAAAAAAAAATGGCAAGTAACTTAGGTTCCAGATTTTTACGATCTTTTTTCTTATACTCTTTTATTTATATAAGGTGTTGAGAAGAAAAAAAAAATCTTGAAGGGAAAATCCCGAGGAAAATCCCGAGAAAGAAATCCGCGGGAACGATCTTGGAAAAGTCTTGGAAAAATCTCGAGGAAAAAAATCTTGGGAAAATCCTAAAAAACGGGAGTTCCTGGAAAATGTCCCGGGAATGATCCTGGGAATGTCTTGGGGAAATCCCGGGAAAAGTCTTGGGGATAAATCTTTGAAAAATTTTGGGAAAGTCTTGGGGAACGATTCCTGGAAAATCTTGGGAAAGTCTTGGGGAACGATTCCTGGGAAATCTTGGGGATGGGACTAAAGGGGCTAAAGGGCTAAAGGGCTGAAGACACTATATTTTGGGTTACATGAAGTTTACATAAGTTTGCGCCTGGCGCCCCTTATTCATACTACTGACGATGCTTCGCGAGGAACAAGCGGAGAACGCCTATTTCAGCAGCGACGATGGTTCGAACGTCCAGAGTTCCTTTGGAAACCAGAACAAGAATGGCCACAACAACCAATTGATATGGGTCAGATTAACAACGATGATCCTGAAGTCAAACATCAAGTTGGAAGTAATGAAACTGTGATTGATGATCTAAATAATCCTACGAACCAATTGATACACTCCATTTCCTCATGGCATCAGTTGAAGAAAGTAATAGCCGTATTTCTTCGCACAAAGAAGATTCTACGAGACAGGATACAAGCTCGTTCAAGTGTAAACAACGAAAACTTCATCGCAAACAGTCACTCCAACTCCCTCTCTGCTGAAGACCTAGCCCAAGCTGAGATCGCCATCGTAAAGTTCATTCAGTTAACTACGTTTCACAAAGAGATAATGTGTCTTAGCAACATCAAGCTCGAAGACTCCGCAGACTACCGGAAGTTTCAGAAAAACAAAAAATTGACTATCAAGAAAGTCAGCTCGATCCATCGTCTCGATCCATACCTTAAAGACGGAATCCTTAGAGTTGGAGGTTGACTTAATCGTGCAGAGCTGCCGCCAGAAACTGCCCATCCAATCATATTACCTTACAAGAATCATGTAACAACCCTCATCCTTCGTCATCTACACCGACAGTTAGGTCATGTTGGACGAAATCATGTTATCGCAGCTATTCGCGAAAAGTATTGGGTAATAAAGGTTAACGCCGCAGTACGACGAGTCCTCTCCAAATGTGTGTTTTGCCTTCGCCATCACGGAAAAGTTGGCGAACAAAAGATGGCTGATTTACACAAAGACCGCATTACGCCAGCACCTCCATTTACCCACACAGGGGTTGATTACTTCGTCCCTTTCATCCTGAAAGAAATACGAAAAGAATTGAAGAGATACGGGGCAATTTTTACTTGTTTGGTGAGCAGAGCTGTGCATATCGAAATCGCTAATCTCTCGATTCAGATTCGTTCATTTTGGCACTACGTCGTTTCATAGCTCGCCGTGGTCCAGTAAGATGTTTAAGGAGTGATAACGGTTCAAACTTTGTTGGCGCGAATAAAGAACTTAAAAGAGCCCTAGAAGAAATGGATCAAAATAGTATCCGTAATAGTATCCGAGAAGGAATCGAAATGGCAATTTAATCCACCATCGGCTAGCCACATGGGCGGTGTGTGGGAGCGCCAAATCAGTTCTACGAGAAAAGTTCTGGCTGGGTTGATGTACGAGCATTGAAGTCGTTTGGATGAAGAGTCGTTCAGGACTTTGATATGCGAAGTTGAAGCTGTAATTAACTCCAGATCATTGACGGTGGTATCAAATGACCCTTCCGATTTGCACCCACTAACTCCTAATCACCTCCTTACAACGAAGTCTGCTGTGACACTTCCTCCGCCTGCAAATTTTCAGAAAAACGACGTTTACCTACATCGTCGTTGGCGAAGAGTTCAATACCTGGTAAACCTATTCTGGACTAGATGGAAGAAAGAATACCTTCTTACCCTGCGAAACCGAAGCAAATGGCAACAACCTAAGCATAACCTGATGACGGGAGATGTGGTAATTTTGAAAGAAGAGAATACACCTCGTAATATGTGGCCCTTGGTCCTAGTCGTGGACACAGAACCAGATTCTCAAGGATTCATTAGGACTGTAATTGTGAAGATAAAAGAAACTGTGTATAAAAGACCAATCTCAAAGATTGCACTTTTATCGGCTAAAGAAGATCAGTGAATTGTGTAAACTTCTTGCGAACTCTAGGGACCGGGAATGTTATTGGGTGTGCATTTAAGTATAAAATTTATTAAATGAATAATTATGCAAATTATAGTTTATTATGCATGATTGACATTGGACATTGTGTAAGGCTTTTAATACTTGCTATAAAATTAACTAGTCAGTTGATCATACGATACGAAGTCGAACAGAACGTGTTTCATTTATGTTGTAAGTGACAGTATAACGATCGAAGTTGAGTTAAAGGATAAACGAACTTGCTTCACCTTAAACGGACACAGATGTATGTACTTGTGTATTTATTACTCTGTGCATTCATGTTTACATTTTTTGTAGTATAGTTTAGCACGCATGTACTTCTTTATCTATGATTTTAGTTTTTTTCTTACCTATCCGAATACACCGAGCAGCGATGCCGAACTCTTAAACGCCCACAATGCTAAACGTGGATTGAAATAACAACGTCTGTTTTTTACTGAATAAATTTTACCTAATATCGATTCTGTCAGACAATAGAAACTTACGCGCACGTACACTCAAAATAAGGAACCTTGTCTTCATTGTGACCTACTTTTCAGCATGACGAGCCTTGGAGGACTGTCCTCAGCTGAGACCTTGTCCTCAGCTCCTCAGGTGAGGAACCTTGTCCTCAAGTGAGGAACCTTGTCCTCAGCGTGAGGTACTTTGTCCTCAGCTTGAGGTACTTTGTCCTCAGCTTGAGGTACCTTGTCCTAAGTGTGAGGTACCTTGTCCTCACCGTGAGGAACCTTGTTCTCAGCTTGAGGAACCTTGTTCTCAGCGTCAGAACCTTGTCCTCAGCGTGAGGAACCTTGTCCTCAGCGGGACGAGTCTTGTCCTGTGCGTGAGGAACCTTGTCCTGGGTGTGACGTACCTTGCCCTCAGTGTGAGGTACCTTGTCCTCAGCGTGAGAAACTTTTCCCTCAGAGTGAGGAACCTTGTTCTCAGCGTGAGGAACCTTGTCTTCAGCGTGAGAAGCCTTGTTTTCAGCGTGAGGAACCTTGTCCTCAGTGTGAGGTACCCTGTCCTCAGTGTGAGGCACTTTGTCCTCAGTTTGAGGAACTTTTTCCTCAGCGTGAAGAATTTGTCCTCAGCGTGAGGAACCCTGTCCTCAGCGTGACGAGTCTTGTCCTCGGAGTGAGGAACCTTGTCCTCAGTGTGAGGTACCTAGTCCTCAGTGTGAGGTACTTTGTCCTCTGCTTGAGGTACCTTGTCCTAAGTGTGAAGTACCTAGTACTCACCGTGAGGAACATTGTCCTCAGCGTGAGGAACCTTGTCCTCATTGTGAGGTACCTTGTCCTCAGTGAGAGGTACCTTGTCCTCTGCGTGAGGAACCTTGACCTCGGTGTGACGTACCTTGTCCTCAGTGTGAAGTACCTGGCCTCAGCGTGAGAAACTTTGCCCTCAGCGTGAGGAACCTTGTTCTCAGCGTGAGGAACCTTGTCGTCAGCGTGAGAAGCCTTGTCCTCAGCGCGAGGAACCTTGTCCTCAGTGTGAGGTACCTTGTCCTCAGCGTGAGAAACCTTGTCCTCAACGTCAGGAACCTTGTCCTCAGCGTCAGGAACCCTGTCCTCAGCTTGAGGAACCTTGTCCTCAGTGTGAGGTACCTTGTCGTAAGCGTGTGGACCCTTGTCCTCAGCGTCAGGAGCCTTGTCCTCAGCGTGAGGAACCTTGTCCTCAGCGTGAGGAACCTTGTCCTCAGTGTGAGGTACCTTGGTCCTCAGCGTGAGGAACCTTGTCCTCAGTGTGAGGTACCTTGTCCTCAGTGTGAGATATCTTGTCTTCAGCTTGAGAAGCCTTGTCCTCAACGTGAAGAACCTTGTCCCCAGCGTGAGGAGCCTTGTCCTCCGTGCGAGGTACCTTGTCCTCAGGGTCCTGAGGTACCGTGTCCTCAGCTTGAGGAACCTTGTCCTCAGTGTGAGGTACTTTGTCCTCAGCTTCGGGAGCCTTGTCGTCAGCGTGAGGAACCTTGTCCTCAGTGTTAGGTACATTGTCCTCAGTGTGAGGTACTTTGTCCTCAGCTTGAGGAACCTTGTCCTCAGCGTGAGGAACCTTGTCCTCAGCTGTGAGGAACCTTGTCCTCAGCGTAGAGGAACCTTGTCCTCAGCATCATGAACCTTGTCCTCAGTGAGAACCTTGCCCACGGTGTGAGGTACCTTGTCCTCATGTGAGGAACCTTTTTTTCAGCTTGAGGAACCTTGTCCTCAGCTCATGAGGAACCTTGTTCTCAGTGAGAAATACCTTGCCCACAGTGTGAGGAACCTTGTCCTAGCGTGAGGAACCTTGTCCTCAGCTGTGAGGTACCTTGTCCTCAGCGTGAGAAACTTTGCCCTCAGCGTGAGGAAACTTGTTCTCAGCGTGAGCAACTTTGTCGTCAGCGTGAGAAGCCTTGTTCTCAGCGCGAGGAACCTTGTCCTCAGTGTGAGGTGCCTTGTCCTCAGCGTGAGAAACCTTGTCCTCAGCGTCAGGAACCTTGTTTTCAGCGTCAGGAACCCTTTCTGCTCAGCGTGAGGAACCTTGTCCTCAGCGTGAGGAACCTTGTCCTCAGCGTGAGACCTTGTCCTCAGCGTGAGAAGACTTGTCCTCAGCGCGAGGAACCTTGTCCTCAGCGTGAGGTACCTTGTCCTCAGCGTGAGAAACCTTGTCCTCAGTGAGAGGTACCTTGTCCTCATCGTGAGGAACCTTGTTCTCAGTGGGACGTACCTTGTCCTCAGCGTGAGGACCTCGTCCTCAGCTTGAGGAACCTTGTCCTCAGTGTGAGGTACCTTGTCATAAGCGTGTGGAGCCTTGTCCTCATCGTCAGGAGCCTTGTCCTCAGCGTGTAGAACCTTGTCCTCAGCGTGAGGAACCTTGTCCGCAGTGTGAGGTACCTTGTCCTCAGTGTGAGGTACCTTGTCCACATCGTGAGGAACCGTGTCCTCAGCCTGAGAAACCTTGTCCTCAGCATGACGAACCCCGTCCTCAGCGTGACGAACCCCGTCCTCATCGTGAGGAACTTTGTCCTCAGTGTGAGGTACCTTGTCCTCAGCTAGAGGAACCTTGTCCTCAGCATCATGAACCTTGTCCTCAGTGAGAAATACCTTGCCCACGGTGTGAGGAACCTTGTCCTCATCGTGAGGAACCTTGTCCTCAGCGTGAGGAACCTTGTCCTCAGCGGGACGAGTCTTGTCCTGTGCGGAGAAATACCTTGCCCACGGCTCAGCGTGAGGAACCTTGTCCTCAGCGGGACGAGTCTTGTCCTGTGCGTGAGGAACCTTGTCCTGGGTGTGACGTACCTTGCCCTCAGTGTGAGGTACCTTGTCCTCAGCGTGAGAAACTTTGCCCTCAGCGTGAGGAAACTTGTGCTCAGCGTGAGGAACCTTGTCGCCAGCGTGAAAAGCCTTGTTCTCAGCGCAAGGAACCTTGTCCTCAGCGTGAGGTACCTTGTCCTCAGCGCGAGAAACCTTGTCCTCAATGAGAGGTACCTTGTCCTCATCGTGAGGAACCTTGTCCTCAGTGGGACGTACCTTGTCCTCAGCGTGAAGTACCTCGTCCTCAGCTTGAGGAACCTTGTCCTCAGTGTGAGGTACCTTGTCATAAGCGTGTGGAGCCTTGTCTTCATCGTCAGGAGCCTTGTCCTCAGCGTGAGGAACCTTGTCCTCAACGTGAGGAACCTTGTCCTCAGTGTGAGGTACCTCGTCAGGAGCCTTGTCCTCAGCGTGAGGAACCTTGTCCTCAACGTGAGGAACCTTGTCCTCAGTGTGAGGTACCTTGTCCTCAGTGTGAGGTACCTTGTCCACATCGTGAGGAACCATGTCCTCAGCCTGAGAAATCTTGTCCTCAGCGTGACGAACCCCGTCCTCAGCGTGACGAACCGGTCCTCAGCGTGAGGAACCTTGTCCCCAGCGTGAGGAGCCTTGTCCTCCGTGCGAGGTACCCTGTCCTCAGGTTCCTGATGTACCGTGTCCTCAGCTTGACGAACCTTGTCCTCAGTGTGAGGTACCATGTCCTCAGCTTGAGGAACGTTGTACCTTGTCTTCAGCGTGAGGTATCTTGTCTTCACCTTGAGCAGGCTTGTCCTCAGCGTGAGGAACCTTGTCCCCAGCGTGAGGAGCCTTGTCCTCCGTGCGAGGTACCCTGTCCTCAGGTTCCTGATGAGCTTGAGGAACCTTGTCCTCAGTGTGAGGTACTTTGTCGTCAGCTTGGGGAGCCTTGTCGTCAGCGTGAGGAACCTTGTCCTCAGTTTGAGGAACGTTGTCCTCAGTGTGAGGTACTTTGTCCTCAGCTTGAGGAACATTGTCCTTAGCAGTGAGAGGTACTTGTCGTCAGCGTGAGGAACCTTGTCCTCAGTTTGAGGAACGTTGTCCTCAGTGTGAGGTACTTTGTCCTCAGCTTGAGGAACCTTGTCCTCAGCTTGAGGAAACTTGTCCTCAGTGTGAGGTAACTTGTCCTCACCGTGAGGAACCTTGTCCTCAGCCTGAGGAACCTTGTCCTCAGCGTGAGAACCCTTGTCCTCGCCGTCATGAACCTTGTCCTGTGTGAGGTAACTTGTCCTCACCGTGAGGAACCTTGTCCTCAGCGTGAGAACCCTTGTCCTCGCCGTCATGAACCTTGTCCTCAGCATGACAACCTTGTTCTCAGTGAGAAATACCTTGCCCACAGTGTGAGGTACCTTGTCCTAATCGTGAGGAACCTTGTCCTCACCTTGAGGAACCTTGTTCTCAGAGTCAGAACCTTGTCCTCAGCGTGAGGAACCTTGCCTTCAGCGTGAGGAACCTTGTCCTAATCGTGAGGAACCTTGTCCTCACCTTGAGGAACCTTGTTCTCAGAGTCAGAACCTTGTCCTCAGCGTGAGGAACCTTGCCTTCAGCGTGAGGAACCTTTTCCCGGTCGTGAAGAACCTTGTCCTCAGTGTGAGGTACCCTGTCTTCAGTTTGAGCTACCTTGCACTTGAGGAACCTTGTCCTCAGCGTGATGAACCTTGTCCTCAGTGTGACACCTTGTCCTCAGTGTGAGGTACCCTTGTCCTCAGTGTGAGGTACCTTGTCCTCAGTGTGAGGTACCTTGTCCTCAGCGTGAGGAACTTTGTCCCCAGCTTAAGGAACCTTGTCCTCACGTGTGTACCTTGTCCTCAGCGTGAGGAACCTTTGTCCTCAGCGTGAGGAACCTTGTCCTCAGCGTGAGGACCTTGTCCTCAGCGTGACGAACCTTGTCCAGGGCGTGAGGAGCCATTGTATCAGGTGAGGTACCTTGTCCTCATTGAGGAACCTTGTCCTCAGCGTGAGGACCTTGTCCTCAGCGTGACGAACCTTGTCCAGGGCGTGAGGAGCCTTGTTCTCAGTGGGAGGTACCTTGTCCTCAATGTGAGGAACCTTGTCCTCAGCGTGAGGAACCTTGTCCTCAGCGTGATGAACCTTGTCCTCAGCGTGAGGTACCTTGTCTTCAGCGTGAGGAACCTTGTTCTCTGCGTGAGGAACCTTGTCCTCAGCGTTAGCAGCCTTGTCCTCAGCGTGAGGTACCATGTCCTCAGCGTGAGGAACCTTGTCCTCAGTGTGAGGTACCTTGACCTCAGTGTGATGTACCTTGTCCACAGCGTGAGGTACCATGTCCTCAGCCTGAGAAACCTTGTCCTCAGCGTGACGAACGCCGTCCTCAGCGTGAGGAACCTTGTCCACAGTGTGAGGTACATTGTCCTCAGTGTGAGATATCTTGTCTTCAGCTTGAGAAGCCTTGTCCTCAGCGTGAGAAACCTTTTCCCCAGCGTGAGGAGCCTTGTCCTCCGTGCGAGGTTCCTTGTCCTCAGGGTCCTGAGGTACCGGACATTGTCCTCAGTGTGAGGTACTTTGTCCTCAGCTTGAGGAACCTTGTCCTCAGCTTGAGGAACCTTGTCCTCAGTGTGAGGTACCTTGTCCTCAGTGTGAGGTACCTTCTCACTGAGGAACGTTGTCCTCAGCGTGAGGAACCTTGTCCTCAGCGTGAGGAACCTTGTCCTCGCCAGTGTCATGAACCTTGTCCTGAGCATGACGAACCTTGTCCTCAGCGTGAGGAACCTTGTCCTCAGCGTGAGGAACCTTGTCCTCGCCGTCATGAACCTTGTCCTGAGCATGACGAACCTTGTCCTCAGTGTGAGGTACTTTGTCCTCAGTGCGAGGTACCTTGTCCTCAGCTAGAGGAACCTTGTCCTTAGCGTCATGAACCTTGTCCTCAGCATCATGAACCTTGTCCTCAGTGAGAAATACCTTGCCCACGGTGTGAGGTACCTTGTCCTCATCGTGAGGAACCTTGTCCTCAGCTTGAGGAACCTTGTTCTCAGCGTCAGAACCTTGTCCTCAGCGTGAGGAACCTTGTCCTCAGCGGGACGAGTCTTGTCCTCTGCGTGAGGAACCTTGTCCTGGGTGTGACGTACCTTGCCCTCAGTGTGAGGTACCTTGTCCTCAGCGTGAGAAACTTTGCCCTCAGCGTGAGGAAACTTGTTCTCAGCGTGAGGAACCTTGTCGTCAGCGTGAAAAGCCTTGTTCTCAGCGCGAGGAACCTTGTCCTCAGCGTGGAAACTTGTTCTCAGCGTGAGGAACCTTGTCGTCAGCGTGAAAAGCCTTGTTCTCAGCGCGAGGAACCTTGTCCTCAGCGTCAGGAACCTTGTCCTCAGCGTCAGGAACCCTTTCCTCAGCGTGAGCAACCTTGTCCTCAGCGTGAGGAACCTTGTTCTCAGCGTCAGGAACCTTGTCGTCAGCGTGAGAAGACTTGTCCTAAGCGCGAGGAACCTTGTCCTCAGCGTGAGGTACCTTGTCCTCAGCGTGAGAAACCTTGTCCTCAGTGAGAAGTACCTTGTCCTCATCGTGAGGAACCTTGTCCTCAGTGGGACGTACCTTGTCCTCAGCGTGAAGTACCTCGTCCTCAGCTTGAGGAACCTTGTCCTCAGTGTGAGGTGCCTTGTCATAAGCGTGTGGAGCCTTGTCCTCATCGTCAGGAGCTTGTCCTCAGTGTGAGGTACCTTGCCCACATCGTGAGGAACCATGACCTCAGCCTGAGAAACCCCGTCCTCAGCGTGACGAACCGGTCCTCAGCGTGAGGAACCTTGTCCTCAGCGTGAGAAACCTTGTCCTCAGTGTGAGATACCTTGTCTTTAGCGTGAGGTATCTTGTCTTCACCTTGAGCAGGCTTGTCCTCAGCGTGAGGAACCTTGTCCCCAGCGTGAGGCCACATCGTGAGGAACCATGACCTCAGCCTGAGAAATCTTGTCCTCAGCGTGACGAACCCCGTCCTCAGCGTGACGAACCCTTGTCTTCACCTTGAGCAGGCTCCGTCCTCAGCGTGAGGAACCTTGTCCTCAGTGTGAGGTACTTTGTCTTCAGCGTGAGGTATCTTGTCTTCACCTTGAGCAGGCTTGTCCTCAGCGTGAGGAACCTTGTCCCCAGCGTGAGGAGCCTTGTCCTCGCCGTCATGAACCTTGTCCTGAGCATGACGAACCTTGTCCTCAGTGTGAGGTACTTTGTCTTCAGCGTGAGGTATCTTGTCTTCACCTTGAGCAGGCTTGTCCTCAGCGTGAGGAACCTTGTCCTCAGCGGGACGAGTCTTGTCCTGTGCGTGAGGTACCTTGTCCTCAGGGTCCTGATGGTCTTCAGCTTGAGGAACCTTGTCCTCAGTGTGAGGTACTTTGTCGTCAGCTTGGGGAGCCTTGTCGTCAGCGTGAGGAACCTTGTCCTCAGTTTGAGGAACGTTGTCCTCAGTGTGAGGTACTTTGTCGTCAGCTTGGGGAGCCTTGTCGTCAGCGTGAGGAACCTTGTCCTCAGTTTGAGGAACGTTGTCCTCAGTGTGAGGTACTTTGTCCTCAGCTTGAGGAACCTTGTCCTCAGCTTGAGGAAACTTGTCCTCAGTGTGAGGTACCTTGTCCTCACCGTGAGGTACCTTGTCCTCAGCGTGAGAACCTTGTCCTCGCCGTCATGAACCTTGTCCTCAGCATGACAAACCTTGTCCTCAGTGTGAGGTACTTTGCTCACCGTGAGGAACCTTGTCCTCAGCGTGAGAACCCTTGTCCTCGCCGTCATCAGCTTGAGGAACCTTGTCTCAGCGTCAGAACCTTGTCTCAGTGAGAAACCTTGCCCACAGTGTGAGGTACCTTGTCCTAATCGTGAGGAACCTTGTCCTCACCTTGAGGAACCTTGTTCTCAGCGTCAGAACCTTGTCCTCAGCGTGAGGAACCTTGCCTTCAGCGTGAGGAACCTTTTCCCGGTCGTGAGGAACCCTGTCCTCAGTGGGAGGTACCTTGTCCTCAGTGTGAGGTACCCTGTCTTCAGTTTGAGCTACCTTGTCCTCACTTAGAGGAACCTTGTCCTCAGCGTGAGGAACCTTGTCCTCAGTGTGACGTACCTTGTCCTCAGTGTGAGGTACCTTCTGCTCAGCGTGAGGAACCTTGTCCCCAGCTTAAGGAACCTTGTCCTCAACGTGTGTACCTTGTCCTCAGCGTCAGGAACTTTGTCCTCTGTGAGGTACCTTCTGCTCAGCGTGAGGAACCTTGTCCCCAGCTTAAGGAACCTTGTCCTCAACGTGTGTACCTTGTCCTCAGCGTCAGGAACTTTGTCCTCAGCGTGAGGAACTTTGTCCTGAGCGTGAGGACCTTGTCCTCAGCGTGAAAAACCTTGTCCTCAGTGTGAGGTACATTGTCCATAGCGTGAGGAACCTTTGTCCAGGGCGTGAGGAGCCTTGTTCTCAGTGGGAGGAACCTTGTCCTGAGTGTGCGTTACATTGTTCTCTACCTTATCCCATTGAGGACCTTGTCCTCAGTGTGAGGTACCTTGTCCTCAGCGTGAGGACAACCTAGTCCTCAGTCGTGAGGTACCTTCTCCTCAGTGTGAGGTACCTTGTCCTCAGTGTGATGTACCTTGTCCTCAGCGTGAGGTACCATATCCTCAGCGTGAGGAACCTTTCCTCAGTGTGAGGTACCTTGACCTCAGTGTGATGTACCTTGTCCACAGCGTGAGGTACCATGTCCTCAGCCTGAGAAACCTTGTCCTCAGCGTGACGAACGCCGTCCTCAGCGTGAGGAACCTTGTCCACAGTGTGAGGTACATTGTCCTCAGTGTGAGATATCTTGTCTTCAGCTTGAGAAGCCTTGTCCTCAGCGTGAGGAACCTTTTCCCCAGCGTGGGGAGCCTTGTCCTCCGTGCGAGGTTCCTTGTCCTCAGGGTCCTAGCGTGTCCTCAGCTTGAGGAACCTTGTCGTCAGTGTGAGGTACTTTGTCCACAGCTTCGGGAGCCTTGTCGTCAGCGTGAGGAACCTTGTCCTCAGTGTTAGGCACATTGTCCTCAGTGTGAGGTACTTTGTCCTCAGCGTGAGGAACCTAGTCCTCACTGTGAGGAACCTCGTCCTCAGCGTGAGGAGCCTTTTCCTCAGTGTGAGGTACTTTGTCCTCAGCTTGGGGAATCCTTGTCCTCAGCGTGAGGAACCTTGTCCTCAGTTGAGGAACCTTGTCCTCAGCGTGAGGAACCTTGTCCTCAGCGTGAGGAACCTTGTCCTCAGCGTGAGGAACCTTGTCCTCAGCGTGAGGAACCTTGTCCTCAGCTAGGAACCTTGTCCTCAGTGAGAACTTGTCCTCACGTGAGGAACCTGTCCTCATGAGGAACCTTGTCCTCAGCGTGAGGAACCTTGTCCTCAGAGTGAGAAACCTTGTCCTCAAAGTGAGGAACCTAGTCCTGAGCGTGATGTACCTTGTACTCAGCGTGAGTAGCCTTGTCCTCAGCCTGAGGAACCTTGTCCTCGGCGTCAGGAACCTTGTTCTCAGTGTGAGGTACCTTTGTGCTCAGCGTGAGGAACTTTGTCCTTAGCGTGAGGACTTTGTCCTCAACGTGAGGAACGTTGTCCTCAGTGTGAGGTACCTTGTCCTCAGCGTCGGGAACCTCTTCCTCAGTGTGAGGAACATTGTCCTGAGCGTGAGGTACCTTGTCCTCAGCGTGAGCGAACCTTGTCCTCAGCGTGAGGAACCTTGTCCTCAGTGTGAGGAACGCTGTCCTCAGCGTGATTAACCTTGTCCTCATTGCGAGGTACCTTGTCCTCAGCGTGAGGAACCTAGTCCTCACTGTGAGGAACCTTGTCCTCAGCGTGAGGAGCCTTTTCCTCAGCGTACTTTGTCCTCATGCTTGGGGAATTTGTCCTCAGCGTGAGGAACCTTGTCCTCAGTTTGAGGTACCTTGTCCTCAGTGTGAGGTACCTTGTCCTCAGCGTGAGCAACCTTGTCCTCAGCGTGTAGGAACCGTGTCCTCAGCGTGTAGGAACCGTGTCCTCAGCGTGAGGAACCTTGTCCTCAGCGTTAGGAACCTTGTCCTCAGCTTGAAGAACGTTGTCCTCAGCGTGAGGAACCATGTCCTCAGCCTGAGGAACCTTGTCCTCAGCGTTAGGAACCTTGTCCTCAGCTTGAAGAACGTTGTCCTCAGCGTGAGGAACCATGTCCTCAGCCTGAGGAACCTTGTCCTCAGCGTGAGGAACCTTGTCCTCAGAGTGAGGAACCTTGATCTCAGTGTGAGTTACCTTGTCCTCAGTGTGAGGTACCTTGTCCTAAACGAGAGGTATCATGTCCTTAGCCTGAGAAACCTTGTCCTCAGCGTGACGACCTTGTCTTCAGCGTGAGGAACTTTGTCCTCAGCGTGAGGAACCTTGTCCTCTGAGGTACTTTGTCCTCAGTGTGAGGTACATTGTCAAGAGCGTGAGGAAACTTGTCCTCAGCGTGAGGAACGTTGTCTTCGGCGTGAGGAACCTTTTCCTCAGTGTGAGGTACCTTGTTCTCAGCGAGAGGAACCTTGTCCTCTGCGGGAGGATCCTTTTCCAAAGCGTGAGCAATCTTGTCCTCAGCGCGAGGAGCCTTGTCCTCAGCGTGAGGAACTTTGTTCTCAGTGTGAGGCACCTTGTCTTCAGTGTGAGGTACCTTGTCTTCAGCTTGAGGAACCTTGTTCTAAGCTTGAGGAACCTTGTCCTCCGTGAGGAACCTTGTCCTCAGTGTGAGGTACCTTGTCCTCATGTGTGAGGTACCTTGTCCTCAGTGTGACGTACCTTGTCCTCAGCTTGAGGAACCTTGTCCTCAGCTTGAGGAACCTTGTCCTCAGTGTGAGGTACTTTGTCCTGGTACTTTGTCTCAGTTTGAGGAACATTGTCCTCAGTTGAGACCTTGTCCTCAGTGTGAGGTACTTTGTCTTGTCCCAGCGTGAGGAACATTTCCTCAGTGTGAGGTCTCTTGTCCTCACCGTGAGGAACCTTGTCCTCAGCGTGAGAAACCTTGATCCTCAGAGTGAGAAACCTTGTCCTCAGAGTGAGGTACCTTGTCTTCAGCATGAGGAACCTTGTCCTCAGCCTGAGGAACCTTGTCCTCAGCGTGAGGAACCTTGTCCTCAGCGTGAGGAACCTTGTCCTCAGCGTGAGGAACCTTGTCCTCAAGGTGAGGACCTTGTACTCAGCTGAGGTACCTTGTCCTCAGCGTGAGGAACCTGGTCCTCAGCTTGAGGAAACTTGTTCTCAGCGTGAGGAACCTTGTCCTCAGCGTGAGGAACCTTGTCCTCAGCGTGAGGACCTTGTACTCAGGTGAGGTAACTTGTGCTCAGCGTGAGGAACCTGGTCCTCAGCTTGAGGAAACTTGTTCTCAGCGTGAGGAACCTTGTCCTCAGCGTGAGGGACCTTGTCCTCAGCGTGAGGAACCTTGTCCTGGGCGTGCGGAACCTTCTTCTCAGTGGGAGGTACCTTGTCCTCAATGTGAGGTACCTTGTCCACAGCTTGAGGAACGTTGTCCTCAGTGTGAGGTACCTTGTCCTCAGCCGTGAGGAACCTTGTCCTCAGCTTGAGGAACCTTGTCCTCACGTGAGGTCCTTGTCCTCAGCGTGAGGAACCTTGTCCTCAAAGTGAGGAACCTTGTCCTCAGCGTGAGGTACCTTGTCCTCAGCGTGAGGAACCTTGTCCTCAGCCTGAGCAACCTTGTCTTCAGCGTGAGGAACCTTGTCCTCAGCGTGAGAAACCTTGTCCTCAGCGTGAGGAACCTTGTCCTCAGCCTGAGCAACCTTGTCTTCAGCGTGAGGAACCTTGTCCTCAGCGTGAGGAACCTTGTCCTCAGTGTGAGGAACCTTGTCCTCAGTGTGAGGAACCTTGTCCTCAGCGTGAGGAACTTTGTTCTCAGTGTGAGGCACCTTGTCCTCAGTGTGAGGTACCTTGTCTTCAGCTTGAGGAACCTTGTTCTAAGCATTGAGGTACCTTGTCCTCTCTGTGAGGTACGTTGTACTCATTGTGACCTTGTCCTCAGCTTGAGGAACCTTGTCCTCAGTGTGAGGAACCTTGTCCTCAGCGTGAGAAACTTTTTCCTCAGCGTGAGGAACCTTATCCTCAGTGTGAGGTACCTTGTCCTAAGTGTGAGGTACCTTTTCCTCACCGTGAGGAACCTTGTCCTCACTCAGCGTGAGGAACCTTATCCTCAGTGTGAGGTACCTTGTCCTAAGTGTGAGGTACATTTGTCCTCACCGTGAGGAACCTTGTCCTCAGCTTGAGGAACCTTGTCCTCAGCGTGAGGGACCTTGTCCTCACCGTAAGGAACCTTGTCCTAACCGTCAGGAACCTTTGTCCTCAGCTTGAGGAACCTCTGTCCTCAGCTGAGGACCTTGTCCTCAGCGTGAGGGACCTTGTCCTCAGCGTGAGCCTTTTCCTCAAGTGAGGAACCTTATCCTCAGTGTGAGGTACCTTGTCCTAAGTGTGAGGTACCTTTTCCTCACGGTGAGGAACCTTGTCCTCAGCGTGGGGAACCTTGTCCTCAATGTGAGGTACCTTGTCCTCAGTTTGACATACCTTCTCCTCAGCGTGAGGAATCTAGTCTTCAGTGTGACGTACCTCGTCCTCAGCGTGAGCAACCGTGTCCTCTGCATGAGGAACCTTGTCCCCAGTGTGAGCAATTTTGTCCTCAGCGTGAGGATCCTTGTCCTCAGCGTGACGAACCTTGTCTACAGTGTGAGGTACCTTGTCCTCAGTGTGAGGTACCTTGTTCTCAGCTTGAGGATCCTTGTCCTCAGTGTGAAGTACCTTGTCCTCAGCTTGAGGAAACTTTTCCTCAGCATGACGAACCTTTTCCTCAGTGTGAGGTACCTTGTCCTCAGGGTGAGACACCTTGTCCTCAGCTTGAGGAACCTTGTCCTCACTGAGAGGTACCTTGTCCTCAGCGTGAGGAAACTTGTCTTCAACGTGAGGAACCTTGTCCTCAGCGAGAGATACCTTGTCCTCACCGTGAGGAATCTTGTCCTCAGCGTGAGGAACCTTGTCCACAGTGTGAGGTAGCTTGTCCTCAGAGTGAGGAACCTTGTCCTCTGCGGGAGGAATCTTGTCCTCTGCGTGAGGAACCTTGTCCTCACCGTGAGTAACCTTGTCCTCACCGTCAGTAACCTTGTCCTCAGAGTGAGGAACCTTTTATTCAGTGCGGGGTACTTTGTCCTCAGTGTGAGGTACTTTGTCCTCCGCTTTAGGAACCTTGTCCTCAGCGTGAGGGACCTTGTCCTCAGCGTGAGAAACTTTGTCCATTCAGTGCGGCGGTACCTTGGCCTCAGTGTGAGGAACTTTGTCCTCAGCTTGAGGAACCTTGTCCTCAGCGTGAGGTACCTTGGCCTCAGTGTGAGGAACTTTGTCCTCAGCTTGAGGAACCTTGTCCTCAGCGTGAGGAACCTTGTCCTCAGCGTGAGGAACCTTGTCCTCAGTGTGAGGTAACCTTGTCCTCAGTGTGAGGAACTTTGTCCTCAGCTTGAGGAACCTTGTCCTCAGCGTGAGGAAGCTTGTCCTCAGCGTGAGGAACCTTGTCCTCAGCGTGAGGGCCTTGTCCTCAGCGTGAGGAACCTTTTCCTCAGCGTGAGGGACCTTGTCCTCAGCGTGAGGAACCTTGTCCTGGGCGTGACGAACCTTGCTCTCAGTGGGAGGTACCTTGTCCTTAGTGTGAGGTACCTTGTCCACAGCTTGAGGAACTTTGTCCTCAGTTTGCGGTACCTGGTCCTCAGCGTGAGGAACCTTGTCCTCAGTGTGAGGTACCTTGTGCTCACTGTGAGGGACCTTGTCTTCAGCGTGAGAAACTTTGTCCTCAGCGTAAGGAACCTTGTCCTCTAGCGTGACGAACCTTGTCCTCAGAGTGAGGAACCTTGTCCTCAGTGTGAGGTACCTTGTCCAAAGTGTGAGGTACCTTGTCCTAAGTGTAAGGTACCTTGTCCTCACCGTGAGGAACGTTGTCCTCAGCGTGAGGAACCTTGTTCTCAGTGTGAGGTACCTTCTCCTCAGTGTGAGGTACCTTGTCCTCAGCGTGAAGTATCTAGTCTTCACTGTGAGGCACCTTGTCCTCAACGTAAGGAACCTTATCCTCAGCGTGAGGAATCTTTTTCTCAGCGTGAAGAACCTTGTCCTGACCGTGAGGAAACTTGTCCTCACCGTGAGCAACCTTGTCCTAACCGTCAGGTACTTTGCCCTCAAAGTGAGGAACCTCGAACTCAATGTGGAATCTTTTTCTCAGCGTGAAGAACCTTGTCCTGACCGTGAGGAAACTTGTCCTCACCGTGAGCAACCTTGTCCTAACCGTCAGGTACTTTGCCCTCAAAGTGAGGAACCTCGAACTCAATGTGGGGTACTTTCTCCTCAGTGTGAGTTACTTTGTTCTCAGATGAGAAACCTTGTCCTCAGGTACCTGTCCTCAGCGTGAGGAACGCTCCTCAGGTGAGAACCTTGTCCTCGGAGCGAGAAGCCTGGTCCTCAGCGTGAGGAACTTTGTCCTCAGCGTGAGGAACCTTGTCCCCAGTGTGAGGTACCTTGTCCTGAGGAACTTTGTCCTCAGCGTGAGGAACCTTGTCCCCAGTGTGAGGTACCTTGTCCTATGTGTGAGGTACCTCTCCTCAGTGTGACGTACCTTGTCCTCAGCTTGAGGAACCTTGCCCTCAGTGTGAGGTACTTTGTCCTCAACTTGGGGAACCTTGTCCCAGCGTGACGAACATTGTCCTCAGTGTGAGTTAGTCTCTTGTCCTCACCGTGAGGAACCTTGTCCACAGCTTGAGAAACCTTGACCTCAAAGTGAGGAACCTTGTCCTCAGCGTGATGTACCTTGTCCTCAGCGTGCGGAACCTTGTCCTCAGCCTGAGGAACCTTGTCCTCAGGTGAGGAACCTTGTCCTCAGCGTGAGAAACCTTGTCCTCAGCGTGAGGACCTTGTCCTCAGCGTGAGGTACCTTGTCCTCAGCGTGAGGAACCTTGTCCTCAGCGTGAGGAACCTTGTCCTCAGTGTGAGGTAGCCTTGTACTCAGCGTGAGGTACCTTGTGCTCAGCGTGAGGAACCTTGTCCTCAGCGTGAGGAACCTTGTCCTCAGTGTGAGTACCTTGTCCTCAGTGTGAAGGACTTTGTTCTCAGTGTGAGTCACCTTGTCCTCAGTGTGAGGTGCCTTGTCTTCAGCTTGAGGAACCTTGTTCTAAGCATGAGGAACCTTGTCCTCTCTATGAGGTACGTTGTACTCATTGTGAGGTACCTTGTTCTCATCGTGAGGTAACTTGTCCTCAGTGTGAGGTAACTTTTCCTCAGCTTGAGGAACGTTGTCCTCATTGTGAGGAACCTTGTCCTCAGCGTGAGGAACCTTGTCCTCAGTGTGAGGTACCTTGTCCTCAGTGTGAGGTACCTTTTCCTCAGCCGTGAGGAACCTTGTCCTCAGCGTGAGGAACCTTGTCCTCACCGTGAGGAACCTTGTCCTCACCGTGAGGAACCTTGTCCTAACCGTCAGGAACTTTGTCCTCAAAGTGAGGAACCTTGGCCTAACCGTCAGGAACTTTGTCCTCAAAGTGAGGAACCTCGAACTCAATGTGATAACCTTGTCCTCAGCGTGAGGGACCTTGTCCTCAGCGTGAGGGACCTTGTCCTCAGCGTGAGAAACTTTGTCCTCAGCGTGAGGAACTTTTCCCTCAGAGTGAGAAACCTTATCCTCAGTGTGAGGAACCTTGTCCTAAGTGTGAGGTACCTTTTCCTCACGGTGAGGAACCTTGAGTCCTCAGCGTGGGGAACCTTGTCCTCAGTGTGAGGTACCTTGTCCTCAGTTTGAGATACCTTCTCCTCAGCGTGAGGAATCTAGTCTTCAGTGTGACGTACCTCGTCCTCAGCGTGAGCAACCGTGTCCTCTGCATGAGGAATCTTGTCCCGAGTGTGAGCAATTTTGTCCTCAGCGTGAGGATCCTTGTCCTCAGCTTGACGAACCTTGTCTACAGTGTGAGGTACCTTGTCCTCAGTGTGAGGTACCTTGTTCTGAGACCGTACCTTGTCCTCAGGGTGAGACACTTGTCCTCAGCATGACGAACCTTGTCCTCAGTGTGAGGTACCTTGTCCTCAGCGTGAGCCTTGTCCTCAGCTTGAGGAACCTTGTCCTCACTGAGATGCCTTGTCCTCAGCGTGAGGAAACTTGTCTTCAACGTGAGGAACCTTGTCCTCAGCGTGAGATACCTTGTCCTCACCGTGAGGAATCTTGTCCTCAGCGTGAGGAACCTTGTCCACAGTGTGAGGTAGCTTCTCCTCAGAGTGAGGAACCTTGTCCTCTGCGTGAGGAATCTTGTCCTCTGCGTGAGGAACCTTGTCCTCACCGTGAGTAACCTTGTCCTCACCGTCAGGAACCTTGTCCTCAGAGTGAGGAACCTTGTACTTTGTCCTCAGCGTGAGGGACCTTGTCCTCAGCGTGAGAAACTTTGTCCTCAGCGTGAGGAACCTTGTCCTCAGCGTGACGAACCTTGTCCTCAGAGTGAGGAACCTTGTCCTCAGCGTGAGGAACCTTGTCCTCAGCGTGAGGAACCTTGTCCTCAGTGTGAGGTACCTTGTCCTAAGTGTGAGGTACCTTGTCCTCACCTGGAGGAACCTTGTCCTCAGCGTGAGGAACTTTGTCCTCAGTGTGAGGTACCTTGTCCTCAGTGTGAGGTACCTTGTCCTCATGGAGGAACCTTGTCCTCAGCGTGAGGAACTTTGTCCTCAGTGTGAGGTACCTTGTCCTCTGTTTGAGGTACCTTGTCTTCAGCGTGATGAATCTAGTCCTCAGTGTGACGTACCTTGTCCTCAGCGTGAGGAACCTTGTCCTCTGCATGAGGAACCTTGTCCTCAGCGTGAGCTCCTTGTCCTCAGTGTGAGGTACCTTGTCCTCAGCTTGAGGAACCTTGTCCTCAGTGTGAGGTACCTTATCCTCAGCTTCAGGAACCTTGTCCTCAGTGAGGAACCTTGTCCTCAGTGAGAGGTAGCTTGTCCTCAGGGTGAGGCACCTTGTCCTCAGCTTGAGGAACCTTGTCCTCAGTGAGAGGTACAGTAGCGCTCAGAAATAACATAACAAGAACCGCGGTTTAACCTCGGTTGAACCTCGGTGTGACCGCGGTGTGACCGCGGTGTGACCGCGGTGTGACCGCGGTGATTTAAAGGTTTGACGGAGGTTATACCGCGGTAATTTTGGGGTTAAACAGCGCTGACCGTGAGGTTTAAATTAACCGAGGTTTGCCCGCAACCCAACCGAACCGATCCGGAAGCTTCGTATATACTCGTAATAGCATTCCTAAATATTCGTGTATTTCCGAAGGTGTCATTATAAAAATTCTGTGTGATATCTGTGATATATTTTGTAAACATTGAGGCATGGGAATGCTGTCGCTTCATTCCAGGGAGCGAATTGTGTCCTTACTTTCGTCAAATACTTCAGTTGTTGGAATAACTAAGAGTTGAAACGATGGGTAAAGGCAAATATGTAGGTCTCTTCTTGTTTATTACAGCTTAAATTGATGTTTTAGAATAAGTAAGAATTTGGCGCGCATCAACTTAATTTACTTAACTCTTTAATATAATAAAGGCAAATGGTTATAAAGCGTGTTCCTAAAAGGTAAAAAAAATTTCGGCCTTTTAGGTACACACGTTATAACCTGGAGCCTTCATTATAAAATTTTATTATAATTGACAATCTAGCCTTTATTATAAAATTTTATTATAATCGAAGAGCTGCTGTAGCCCTTATTATAATTGAAGCTGACACAACAGCCTCTAAGCTTTCTCTTAGCTGTTATATTATAGCCCGAGTTAGCATTTTATTATTGAAGACATTCTATGCCGCGAATATGTTACTGCTTCTGGTCGGAAAGCCTCGGAATCATAATGCATATTAAAACCGCGGTTAGCTTTTTGCCGATGCATGGGCAAAACCGCAAAAAAACCGCCCGCTAACCGCCCGATAACCGCGCGTTAACCGCACGTTAACAGCTCGATAACCGCACGTTAACCGCACGCTAACCGCAAAACGACCGCAACCGCAGTGTTAGGTTAATTCTGAGCGGTACTCCCACAGCGTGAGATACCTTGTCCTCAGCGTGAGGAACCTTGTCCTAAGAGTGAGGAACCTTGTCCTCAGAGTGAGGAACCTTGTCCTCAGTGTGCAGTACCTTGTTCTCAGTGTGAGGTACTTTGTCCTCAGTTTGAGGAACCTTCTCCTCAGCGTCAGGAACTTTGTCCTCAGCGTGAGGAACTTTGTCCTCAGCGTGAGGAACCTTGTCCTCAGAGTGAGGTACCTTGTCCTCAGTGTGAGGTACCTTGTCCTCAATGTGAGGTACTTTTTCCTCAGCTTGAGGTACATTGTCCTAAGTGTGAGCTACCTTGTCCTCACCGTGAGGAACCTTGTCCTCAGCGTGAGGAACTTGTCCTCAGTGTGAAGTACCTTGTCCTCAGTGAGACGTACCTTGTCCTCATCGTGAGGAACCTTGTCCTCAGTGGGACGTACCTTGTCCTCAGCGTGAGGTACCTTGTCCTCAGCGTGAGAAACTTTGTCCTCAGCGTGGAGAACCTAGTCCTGAGTGTGAGGTACCTTGTCCTCAGTGTGAGCTACCTTGTCCACAGCTTGAGGAACCTTGTCCTGAATGTGAGGTACCTTGTCCTCAGTGCGAGGTACCTTGTCTTCAGCGTGAGGTACCATGTCCTCAGCCTGAGAAACCTTGTCCTCAGCGTGACGACCTTGTCTTCAGCGTGACCAACTTTCTCCTCAGAGTGAGGTACCTTGTCTTCAGCGTGACGAACCTTGTCCTCATTGTGAGGTACTTTGTCCTCAGTGTGAGGTACGTTGTCATCAGAGTGAGGAACCTTGTCTTCAGCGTGAGGAACCTTGTCCTCAGCGTGAGGAACCTGCTTCTCAGTGTGAGGAACCTTGTCCTCAGGCGTGAGGAACCTTGTCCTCCGCTTGAGGAACCTAGTCCTCAGCGTGAGCAACCTTGTCCTCAGCGTGAAGAACCTTGTCCTCAGCGTGAGGAACTTTGTCCTCAGGGTGGAGTTCCTTGTCCTCAGTGTGAGGTACCTTGTCTTCAGCTTGAGGAAGCTTGTCCTAAGCATGAGGAACCCTGTCGTCAGTGTGAGGTACCTTGTACTCATTGTGAGGTTCCTTGTCCTCAACGTGAGGAACCTTGTGTTCAGCGTGAGGAGCCTTGTCCTCTGACCGTGAGGAACCTTGTCCTCAGCGTGAGGAATCTTGTCTACCGTGTGAGGTACCTTGCCCGCAGGGTGAGATACCATGTCCTCAGCTTGAAGAACCTTGTCCACAGCGTGAGGAACCTTCTCCTCAGCGTGAGGAATCTTGTCCTGGGCGTGAGGAACCTTGTGCTCAGCGGGAGATACATTGTCCTTAATGTGAGGTACCTTGTCCACAGCTTGAGTAACCTTGTCGTCAGTGTGAGCTACATTGTCCTCAGTGTGATGCACCTTGTCCTCAGCTCGTGGAACCTTGTCCTCAGCGTGAGGTACCTTGTCCTCAGTGTGAGGTACTTTCTCCTCAGCTTGAGAAACCTTGTCGTCAGCGTTATGAACCTTGTCCTCAGTGTGAGGTACCCCTTGTCCTCAGCGTGAGCAACCTAATCCTCAGCGTGAGAAACTTTGTCCTCAGTGGGAGTTACCTTGTCCTCAGTGTGAGGTACATTGTCCTCAGCTTGAGGAACCTTGTCCTCAGCTTGACGAACCTTGTACTCAGTGTGAGGTCCCTTCTCTTCACCGCGAGGAACTTTGTACTCAGCGTGAGAAACCTTGTCCTGGGCGTGAGGAACCTTCTTTTCAGTGGGAGGTACCTTGTCCTCAATGTGAGGTACCTTGTCCACAGCTCGAGGAACCTTGTCCTCAGCGTGACGTACCTTGTCCACAGCTTGAGTAACCTTGTACTCAGTGTGAGGTACCTTGTCCTCAGTGTGACGTACCTTGTGCCCAGCGCGAGGAACCTTGTCCTCAGCTTGAGGAACTTTGTTCTCAGCGTAAGGAACTTTGTCCTCAGCGTGACGGGCATTGTCCTCAGCGTGAGGAACCTTGTCCTGGGCGTGAGGAACCTTTTTCTAAGTGGGAGGTACCTTGTCCTCAATGTGAGGTACCTTGGCCACAGCTTGTCCTCAGCGTGACGGGCATTGTCCTCAGCGTGAGGAACCTTGTCCTGGGCGTGAGGAACCTTTTTCTAAGTGGGAGGTACCTTGTCCTCAATGTGAGGTACCTTGGCCACAGCTTGAGGAACCTTGTCCTCAGCGTGAGGAACCTTCTCCTCACTGTGCGGAACTTTTCCTCAGTGTGAGGAGACTTAGCCTCAGTGTGAGGTAACTTGTCCTCAGTGTGAGGTACTTTGTTCTCAGCTTGGGGAACCTTGTCCTCAGCGTGTAGGAAACCTGTCCTCAGTGTGAGGAACGCTGTCCTCAACGTGAGGAACCTTGTCCTCAGTGTGAGGAACCTTGTCCTCAGCGTGAGGAACCTTGTCCTCATGCGTGAGGAACCTTGTCCTCAGCGTGAGGAACCTTGTCCTCATGCGTGAGGAACCTTGTCCTCACGTGAGGAACTTTGTCCTCACTGTGAGGAACCTTATCCTCACTGTGAGGAGACTTATCCTCAGTGTGAGGTACCTTGTCCTCAGTGTGAGTTACTTTGTCCTCAGCTTGGGGAACTTTGTCCTCATCGTGAGGAACCTTGTCCTCAGTGTGAGGTACCTTGTCTTCAGCGTGAGGAAACTTGTCCTCTGCGTGAGGAACCTTGTCCTCCGCGTGAGGAACCTTCTCCTCACTGTGAGGAACCTTATCTTCAGTGTGAGGAGACTTATCCTCGGTGTGAGGTACTTTGTCCTCAGTGTGAGGCACTTTGTCCCCAGCTTGGGGAACCTTGTCCTCAGCGTGTAGGAACCCTGTCCTCAGCGTGAGGAACCTTGTCCTAAGCGTGAGGAACCTTGTCCTCAGGTTGAGGAACCTTGTCCTCAGTGTAAGGTGCGTTTTCCTCAGCGTGAGGAACCTTGTCCTCAGCTTGAGGAACCTTGTCCTCAGCGCGAGGAACCTTTTCCTCAGCGTGAGGAACCTTGTCCTCAGCTTGAAGAACCTTGTCCTCAGCGTCAGGAACATTGTCCTCGGTGTGAGGTACCTTGTCCTCAGTGTGAGATACCTCGTTCTCATCGTGAAGAACCTTGTACTCAGTGTGACGCACCTTGTCCGCAGTGTAAGGTACCTTGTCCTCAGCTTGGTGAAGCTTGTCCTCAGAGTGAGAAAGTTTGTCCTCAGTGTGAGGTACCTTGTCCTCAGTGTGAGGTACCTTGTGTTCAGCTTGAGGAACCTTGTCATCAGCGTGAGGAACCTTGTCCACAGTGTGACGTACCTTGTCCTCAGTGTGAGGTACCTTGTCCTCAGCGTCAGGAACATTGTCCTCAGCGTGAGGAACCCTGTCCTCAGCGTGAGGAACCTTGTCCTCAGCGTGAGGAACCTTGTCCTCAGGTGTGAGGTACCTTGTCCTCAGCGTGAGGAACCTTGTACTCAGCGTGAGGAACCTTGTCCTCAGCGTGATGAACCTTGTCCTCAGTGTGAGGTACCTTGTCCTCAGCGGAGGAACCTTGTTCTCTGCGTGAGGAACCTTGTCCTCAGCATTAGCAGCCTTGTCCTCTGCGTGAGGAACCTTGTTCTCAACGTGAGTAGCCTTGTCCTCAGTGTGACGTACCACGTCCTCAGCGTGAGGTACCTTGTTCTCAGTGTGAGGTACCTTGTCTTCAGCGTGAGGAACCTTGTTCTCTGCGTGAGAAACCTTGTCCTCAGCGTTGGCAGCCTTGTCCTCTGCGTGAGGAACATTTCCCTCAGCGTGACTAGTCTTGTCCTCTGTGTGAGATACCTTGTCCTCAGTGTGACGTACCTAGTCCTCAGCGTGAGGTACCTTGTTCTCAGTGTGAGGTACCTTGTCCTCAGCGTGAGGAACCTTCTCCTCAGCGTGAGGAACCTTGTCCGCAGCCTGAGGAAACTTGTCCTCAGTGTGAGGTACCTTGTCCTCAGTTTGGGGAACCTTGTCCTCAGCGTGAGAAACTTTGCCTCAGTGCGAGGTCCCTTGTCCTCACCGTGAGGAACCTTGTCCTCAGCTCGAGAAATCTTGTCCTCAAAGTGAGGAACCTTGTCCTCAGTGTGAGGTACCTTGTCCTCAGTGTGAGCTACATTGTCCTCTGCGTGAGGACCTTGTCCTCAGTGAGGCGTGAGCAACCTTGTCCTCAGCGTGAGGAGCTTTGTCCTCGGTGTGAGGTACCTTGTTCTCAATGTGAGGTACCTTGTCCTCAGCTTGAGGAACCTTTTCCTCAGCGTGAGGATAGTTGTCTGCAGTGTGAGGTACCTTGTCCTAAGTGTGCGGTACCTTGTCCTCAGTGAGACCTACCTTGACCTCAACTTGGGGAGTACCTTGTCCTCAGCGTGAGAAACATTGTCCTCAGCGTGAGGTACCTTGTCGCCAGCGTGAGAGACCTTGTCCTCAGCGTGAGGAACCTTGTCCTCAGTGTGAGGAACGCTGTCCTCAGCGTGAGGAACCTTGTCCTCAGTGTGAGGTACCTTGTCCGCAGCGTGAAGAACCTTGTTTTCTGCGTGAGGAACCTTGTCCTCAGCGTGAGGAGCCTAGTCATCACTGTGAGGAACCTTGTCCTCAGCGTACGGAGCCTTATCCTCAGTGTGAGGTACCTTGTTCTCAGTGTGAGGTACTTTGTCCTCAGCTTGGGGAACTTTGTCCTCAGCGTGAGGAACCTTGTCCACAGTGTGAGGTACCTTCTCCTCAGCGTGAGCAACCTTGTCCTCAGCGTGTAGGAACCCTGTCCTCGGCGTGAGGAACCTTGTCCTCAGCGTGAGGAACCTTGTCCTCAGCGTGAGGAACCTTGTCCTCAGTGTGAGCTACCTTGTCCTCAGCGTGAGGAACCTTGTCCTCAGCGTGAGCAACCTTGTCCTCTGCGTGAGGAACCTTGTCCTCAGTGTGAGCTAGGTTAACCTCAGCTTGAGGAACCTTGTCCTCAGTATGAGGCACTTTGCCCTCAGTGTGAGGTACCTTGTCCTCAGTGTGAGGTACCTTGTCCTCATCGTTAGCAAGCTTGTCCTCTGCGTTAGGAACCTTGTCCTCAGTGTGAGGTACGTTATCCTCAGCTTGAGGAACCTTGTCCTCATTGTGAGGTGCTTTGTCCTCAGTGTGAGGTACCTTGTCCTCAAAGTGAGGAACCTTGTCCTCAGCGTGAGGAGCTTTGTCCTCGGTGTGAGGTACCTTGTCCTCAATGTGAGGTACCTTGTCCTCAGCTTGAGGAACCTTGTCCTCAGTGTGAGGTGCTTTGTCCTCAGCGTGAGGAACTTTGTCCGCTGCGTGAGGTACCTTGTCCTCAGCGTGAGCAACTTTGTCCGCAGTGTGAGGTACCTTGTCCTCAGGGTGAGCCACCTTGTCCTCAGCTTGAGGAGCCTTGTCCTCAGTGAGAGATACCTTTTCCTCAGCGTGAGGAACCTTGTCCTCAGCGTGAGGAACCTTGTCCTCTGCGCGAGAAACCTTGTCCTGTGCCTGAGGAACCTTCTCCTCAGTGTGAGGTACCTTGTCCTCAGTGTGAGCTACATTGTCCTCTGCGTGAGGACCTTGTCCTCAGCGTGAGGAAGTTGTTCTCAGCGTGAGCAACCTTGCCCTCAGCGTGAGGAGCTTTGTCCTCGGTGTGAGGTACCTTGTCCTCAATGTGAGGTACCTTGTCCTCAGCTTGAGGAACCTTGTCCTTAGCGTGAGGATAGTTGTCTGCAGTGTGAGGTACCTTGTCCTAAGTGTGCGGTACCTTGTCCTCAGTGTGACCTACCTTGACCTCAACTTGGGGAACCTTGTCCTCAGCGTGAGGTACCTTGTCGCCAGCGTGAGAAACCTTGTCCTCAGCGTGAGGAACCTTGTCCTCAGTGTGAGGAACGTTGTCCTCAGCGTGAGGAACCTTGTCCTCAGTGTGAGGTACCTTGTCCGCAGCGTGAAGAACCTTGTCTTCTGCGTGAGGAACCTTGTCCTCAGCGTGAGGAACCTAGTCATCACTGTGAGGAACCTTGTCCTCAGCGTGAGGAGCCTTATCCTCAGTGTGAGGTACCTTGTTCTCAGTGTGAGGTACTTTGTCCTCAGCTTGGGGAACTTTGTCCTCAGCGTGAGGAACCTTGTCCACAGTGTGAGGTACCTTCTCCTCAGCGTGAGCAACCTTGTCCTCAGCGTGTAGGAACCCTGTCCTCGGCGTGAGGAACCTTGTCCTCAGCGTGAGGAACCTTGTCCTCAGCTTGACGAACCTTGCCCTCAGTGTAAGGTACCTTGTCCTCAGCGTGAGCAACCTTGTCCTCAGCGTGAGGAACCTTGTCCTCAGTGTGAGGTAGGTTAACCTCAGCTTGAGGAACCTTGTCCTCAGTATGAGGCACTTTGCCCTCAGTGTGAGGTACCTTGTCCTCAGTGTGAGGTACCTTGTCCTCAGTGTGAGGTACCTTGTCCTCAGCGTCAGGAACATTGTCCTCGGCGTGAGGAACCCTGTCCTCAGAGTGAGGAACCTTCTCCTCAGCGTGAGGAACCTTGTCCTCACCGTGAGGAACCTTGTACTCAGCGTGAGGAACCTTGTCCTCAGCGTGACGAACCTTGTCCTCAGTGTGAGGTACCTTGTCCTAAGCGTGAGGAACCTTGTTCTCTGCGTGAGGAACCTTGTCCTCAGCATTAGCAGCCTTGTCCTCTGCGTGAGGAACCTTGTTTTCAACGTGAGTAGCATTGTCCTCAGTGTGACGTACCTCGTCCTCAGCGTGAGGTACCTTGTTCTCAGTGTGAGGTTCCTTGTCTTCCGCGTGAGGAACCTTGTTCTCTGCGTGAGGAACCTTGTCCTCAGCGTTGGCAGCCTTGTCCACTGCGTGAGGAACATTTCCCTCAGCGTGACTAGTCTTGTCCTCTGTGTGAGATACCTTGTCCTCAGTGTGACGTACCTAGTCCTCAGCGTGAGGTACCTTGTTCTCATTGTGAGGTACCTTGTCCTCAGCGTGAGGAACCTTCTCCTCAGCGTGAGGAACCTTGCCCGCAGCGTGAGGAAACTTGTCCTCAGTGTGAGGTACCTTGTCCTCAGTTTGGGAAACCTTGTCCTCAGCGTGAGAAACTTTGCCTCAGTGCGAGGTCCCTTGTCCTCACCGTGAGGAACCTTGTCCTCAGCTCGAGAAATCTTGTCCTCAAAGTGAGGAACCTTGTCCTCAGTGTCAGGTACCTTGTCCTCAGTGTGAGCTACATTGTCCTCTGCGTGAGGACCTTGTCCTCAGCGTGAGGAAGTTGTTCTCAGCGTGAGCAACCTTGTCCTCAGCGTGAGGAGCTTTGTCCTCGGTGTGAGGTACCTTTTCCTCAATGTGAGGTACCTTGTCCTCCGCTTGAGGAACCTTGTCCTCAGCGTGAGGATAGTTGTCTGCAGTGTGAGGTACCTTGTCCTAAGTGTGCGGTGCCTTGTCCTCAGTGTGACCTACCTTGACCTCAACTTGGGGAACCTTGTCCTCAGCGTGAGAAACATTGTCCTCAGCGTGAGGAACCTTGTCCTCAGTGTGAGGAACGCTGTCCTCAGCGTGAGGAACCTTGTCCTCAGTGTGAGGTACCTTGTTCTCAGTGTGAGGTACTTTGTCCTCAGCTTGGGGAACTTTGTCCTCAGCGTGAGGAACCTTGTCCTCAGTGTGAGGTACCTTCTCCTCAGCGTGAGCAACCTTGTCCTCAGCGTGTAGGAACCCTGTCCTCGGCGTGAGGAACCTTGTCCTCGGCGTGAGGAACCTTTTCCTCAGCTTGACGAACCTTGTCCTCAGTGTGAGGTACCTTGTCCTCAGCGTGAGGAACCTTGTCCTCAGCGTGAGCAACCTTGTCCTCAGCGTGAGGAACCTTGTCCTCAGTGTGAGGTAGGTTAACCTCAGCTTGAGGAACCTTGTCCTCAGTATGAGGCACTTTGTCCTCAGTGTGAGGTACCTTGTCCTCAGTGTGAGGTACCTTGTCCTTAGTGTGAGGTACCTTGTCCTCATCGTTAGCAACCTTGTCCTCTGCGTTAAGAACCTTGTCCTCAGTGTGAGGTACGTTATCCTCAGCGTGAGGAACCTTGTCCTCAGCGTGAGGAGCTTTGTCCTCGGTGTGAGGTACCTTGTCCTCAATGTGAGGTACCTTGTCCTCAGCTTGAGGAACCTTGTCCTCAGTGTGAGGTGCTTTGTCCTCAAGTGTGAGGTACCGCTTTGTCCTCAAGTGTGAGGTACCTTGTCCTCAGCGTGAGGAACTTTGTCCGCTGCGTGAGGTACCTTGTCCTCAGCGTGAGGAACTTTGTCCGCAGTGTGAGGTACCTTGTCCTCAGGGTGAGGAACGCTTGTCCTCAGTGTGAGGTACCTTTTCCTCAGCGTGAGGAACCTTGTCCTCAGCGTGAGGAACCTTGTCCTCTGCGCGAGGAACCTTGTCCTCTGCGTGAGGAACCTTGTCCTCAGCGTGAGGAACCTTGTCCTCTGCGCGAGGAACCTTGTCCTCTGCGTGAGGAACCTTCTCCTCAGTGTGAGGTACCTTGTCCTCAGCCTTGTCCTCACTGCGAGGTACCTTGTCCTCAGTCTAAGAAAACCAGAGCTCAGTGAGAGGTACCTTGTTCTCAGCTTGAGGAACCTTGTCATCAGCGTGAGGTACCTTGTACTCATCGTGAGGAGCCTTGCCTCAGCGTGAGGAACCTTGTCCTCAGTGTGAGGTACCTTGTCCTCAGCTTGAGGTACCTTGTCCTGAGCTTGGGGAACATTGTGCTCGACTTGAAGAAGCTTTTCCTCAGTGTGAGGTACCCTGTCCTGAGTGTGAGGTACCTTGTTCCCTGCGTGAGGAACCTTGTCCTCACCGTGAGGAACCTTGTCCTCTGCGTGAGGTACCTTGTCCTCAGCGTGAGAAACTTTGTCCTCAGCGTGAGGAACCTTCTCCTCAGTGTGAGGTACCTTGTTCTCAGGGTGAGCCACCTTGTCCTCAGCTTGAGGAACCTTGTCCTCAGTGAGAGATACCTTTTCCTCATCGTGAGGAACCTTGTCCTCAGCGTGAGCAGCCTTGTCCTCAGCGTGAGGTACCTTGTCCTCAGTGTGAGGTACCTTGTCCTCAGTTTGAGGTACCTTGTCCACAGCTTGGGGAACATTGTCCTCGACTTGAGGAAGCTTTTCCTCAGGTTGAGGTACCTTGTCCTCAGTGTGAGGTACCTTGTTCTTTGCGTGTGGAACCTTGTCCTCCGCGTGAGGAACCTTGTCCTCTGCGTGAGGAACCTTGTCCTCTGCGTGAGGAACCTTGTCCTCAGTGTGAGGTACCTTGTCCTCAGCGTGAGGTACCTTGTCCTCAGGGTGACGCACTTTGTCCTCAGCTTGAGGAACCTTGTCCTCAGTGAGAGGTACCTTTACCTCAGCGTGAGGAACCTTGTTGTCAGCGTGAGGAACCTTGTCCTCAGCGTGAGATACCTTGTCCTCGGCGTGAGGTACCTTATACTCGGCGTTAGCAACCTTTTCCTCAGAGTGAGGAACCTTGTCTTCAGCGTGAGGAACCCTATCCTCAGCGAGAGGAATCTACTGCTCAGTGTGAGGTACCTTGTCATCAGTGTTAGGTGCCTTGTCCTCAGCTTGAGGAACCTTGTTCTCAGTGTGAGGTACTTTGTCCTCAGCGTGAGGAATGTTGTCCTCAGCGTGAGGAACCTTGTCCTCGCCGTCATGAACCTTGCCTCAGCATGAGGAAACTTGCCCTCAGCGTGAGGTACCTTGTTCTCAGTGTAAGGTACCTTGTCCTCAGCATGAGGAACCTTCTCCTAAGCGTGAGGAATCTTGTCCTCATTTGGGGAAAAAATGAAAATTTTCTTGAAAATTTCGGATTTGGCGAAAAAATGAAAATTTTCTTGAAAATTTCGGATTTGGCGAAAAAGTTAAAATTTTCTGGAAAATTTCAGATTTCGAGAAAAAATGAAATGTTTCTGGAAAACTTCGGATTTGGCAAAAAAATATAAATTTTCTTGAAAATTTCGGATTTGACGAAAAAATAAAATTTTCTTGAAAATTTCGGATTTGGCGAAAACATGAAAATTTTGTTGAAAATTTCGAATTTGGCGAAAAAATGAAAATTTTCAGCAAAATTTCGGATTTGGCGAAAAAATGAAAATTTTCTGGAAAATTTCGGATTTGGGGAAAAAAAGGAAATTTTCTTGAAAATTTCGTATTCGCCGAGTAAATGAAAATTTTATTGAAAATTTCGGAAAGCCTTGTCCTGAGCGTGAGGAACCTCGTCCTCAGCGTGAGGAGCCTTGTACTCAGTGTGAGGTACGTTGTCTTCAGCGTGGGGAACCTTGTCCTCAGTGTGAGGTACTTTGTCCTCAGTGTGAGGTCCCTTGTCCTCAGCGTAAGGAACCTTGTTTTGAACCGTGAGGAACCTTGTCCTCAGCGTGAGAAACTTTGTCCTCAGCCTGAGGAAGCTTTTCCTCAGAGTGAGAAACCTTGTCCTCATCGTGAGGAACCTTGTCCCCAGTGTGAGGTACCTTGTCCTCAGCTTGAGGAACTTTGTCCTCTGTGTGAGGAACCTTGTCCTCTGCGTGAGGAACACTGTCCTCAGCGTGAGGAACCTTGTCCTCAGTGTGAGGAACCTTGTCCTGAGTGTGAGGTACCTTGTCCTCAGCGTGAGGTACCATGTCCTCAGCGAGAGGAACCTTGTCCTCTGCATGAGGAACTTTGTCCTCAACGTGACCAACCTTGTCCTCAGCGTGACCAACCACGTCCTCAGCGTGAAGGACCTTGTCCTCAGTGTGTGGTACCTTGTCCTCAGCGTGGGGTACCTTGTCTTCAGCTTGAAGAACCTTGTCCTAAGCACTAGGAACCTTGTCTTTATTGAGAGGTACCTTGTCCTCAGCGTGAAAAACCTTGTCCCAAGCGTGAGGATCCTTGTCCCCCGCGTGAGGTACCTTGTCCTCAGGGTGAGGTACCGTGTTCTCAGCTTCACGAACCTTGTCCTCAGTGTGAGGTACCCTGTGCTCAGAGTGAGGAACCGTGTCCTCAGCGTGAGGAACCCTGTCCTCAGCGTGAGGAACCTTGTCCTCAGCGTGAGGAGCCTTATCCTCAGCGTGAGGAACCTTGTCCTCAGCGTGTGGTACCTTGTCCTCAGCGTGAGGAACCTTGTCCTCAGCGTGAGGAACCTTCTCCTGAGCGTGATGAACCTTGTCCTCAGAGTGAGGTACCTTGTCTTCAGTGTGAGTTACCTTGTCCTCAGCGTGAGGTACCTTTTCCTAAGCGAGACATACCTTGTCCTCAGAGTGATGTACCTTGTCCTCAGCGTGAGCAACCTTGCCCTCAGCGTGAGGGACTTTGTCCTCAGTGTGAGGTACCTTGTCTTCAGCTTGAGGAACATTGTCCTCAGTGTGAGGTGAACTGTTCTCAGTGTGAGGAACCCTGTCCTCAGCGTGAGGAACTTTGTTCTCAGCGTGAGGAACTTTGTCCTCAGCGTGAGGAACCTTGTCCTCAGTGTGAGGTACCTTGTCCTCAGCTTGAGGGACATTGTCCTCATTGTGAGATACGTTGTCCTCAGCGTGAAGAACGTTGCCTCAGCTTGAAGGACCTTGTCCTTAGTGTGAGGTACCTTGTCCTCAGCGTGAGCCACCTTGTCCTCTGCCTGAGGAACCTTGTCCACGCCGTCATGAACCTTGTCCTCAGCATGAGGAACCTTGTCCTCAGTGTGAGGTACCTTGTCCTCAGTGTGAGGTACCTTTTCCTCAGCTTGAGGTACCTTGTACTCAGCGTTAGGAACCTTTTCCTCAGCGTCAGGAACCCTGTCGTCAGCCTGAGGAACCCTGTCCTCAGCGTGAAGTACCATGTCCTCAGCCTAAGAAACCTTGTACTCAGCGTGACGAACCCCGTCCTCAGTGTGACTACCTTGTCCTCAGTGTGAGGTACCTTGTCCTCAGTGTGAGGTACCTTCTCCTCAGCTTGAGGAACCTTGTCCTCAGCGTCCGGAACATTGTGCTCAGTGTGAAATACCTTGCCTTCAGTGTGAAATACCTTGTCCTCATCGTGAGGAACCTTGTCCTCAGCTTGAAGAACCTTGTTCTCAGCATCAGAACTTTGTCCTCAGCGTGAGGATCCTTGTCCTCAGCGTGAGGAACCTTGTCCTGGGCGTGATGAACCCTGTCCTCAGGGTGAGGTACCTTGTCTTCAGTCTGAGGTACCTTTTCCTCAGCTTGAGGAACCTTGTCCTCAGTGTGAGGTTCCTTGCCTCAGCGCGAGGAACCTTGTCCTCAGCGTGAGGAACCTTGTCCTCGCCGTCATGAACCTTGTCCTCAGGGTGAGGTACCTTGTCTTCAGTCTGAGGTACCTTTTCCTCAGCTTGAGCAAGCTTGTCCCCAGCGTCAGGAACCTTGTCCTCAGCGTGAGGTACCTTGGTCTCAGTGTCAGGTACCTTGTTCTCAGCGTGAGCAACCTTCTTCTCAGCGTGAGGAACCTTCTCCTCAGCGTGAGGAATCTTGTCCTAAGCGTGAAGAACCTTGTCCTCAGTTTGAGGTACCTTGTCCTCAGCGTGAGGAACCTTGTCCTCTGCGTGAGGAACCTTGACCTGAGCGTGAGTAACCTTGTCCTGAGTGTGAGGTACCCTTTCCTCACCTTGAGGAAGCTTGTCCCCCGCGTCAGGAACACTGTCCTCAGCGTGAGGAACTTTGTTCTGAGTGTGAGGTACCTTGTCCTCAGCGTGAGGAACCTTGTCCTCAGCGTGAGGAACCTTGTCCTCAGTTTGAGGTACCTTGCACTCAGATTGAGGAACCTTGTTATCAGCGTGAGGAGACTTGTCCTCCGCGTGAGGAACCTTGTCCTCAGTGTGAGTTACCTTGCCCTCAGCGTGAGGAACCTTTTCCTCAGCGTGAGCAGCCTTGTCCTCACTGTGACGTACCTTGTCCTCAGCTTGAGGAAACTTGTCGTCAGCATGAGGAACCTTGTCCTCAGTGTGAGGTACCTTGACATCAGTGTGATGTACCTTGTCCTCACCGTGAGCAACCTTGTCCTTAGCGTGAGGGACTTTGTCCTCAGTGTGAGGTACCTTGTCTTCAACTTGAGGAACATTGTTCTCAGTGTGAGGTGCCCTGTTCTCAGCGTGAGGAACCACGTACTCAGCGTGAGGAACTTTGTCCTCAGCGTGAGGAACTTTGTCTTCAGCATGAGGAACCTTGTCCTCAGTGTAAGGTACCTTCTCCTCAGCTTGAGCGACATTGCGCTCATTGTGAGATACGTTGTCCTCAGCGTGAGGAACGTTGCCCTCAGCTTGAAAGACCTTGTCCTTAGTGTGAGGTACCTTCTCCTCAGCGTGAGCCACCTTGTCCTCTGCGTGAGGAACCTTGTCCTCGCCGTCATGAACCTTGTCCTCACCATGAGGATCCTTGTCCTCAGTGTGAGGTACCTTGTCCTCAGTGTGAGGTACCCTTTCCTCAGCTTGACGAAGCTTCTCCCCCAGCGTGAGGAACCCTGTCCTCAGCGTGAGGTACCATGTCCTCGGGCTGAGAAACCTTGTACTCAGCGTGACGAAACCCGTCCTCAGTGTGACTACCTTGTCCTCAGTGTGGGTGCCTTGTCCTCAGCGTGAGAAACTTTGCCTCAGCATGAGGAACCTTTTCCTCAGCGTGAGGAACCTTGTCGTCAGCGTGAGGAACCTTGTTCACAGCGTGACGAGCCTTTTCCTCAGAGTGAGATACATTGTCCTCAGTGTGAGGTACTTTGTCCTCAGCGTGAGGAACCTTGTCCTGGGCGTGAAGAGCCTTGCTCTCAGTCGGAGGTACCTTGTCCTCAATGTGAGGTACCTTGTCCACAGCGTGAGGAACCTTGTCCTGAGCGTGAGTAACCTTGTCCTGAGTGTGAGGTACCCTTTCCTCACCTTGAGGAAGCTTGTCGCCTGCGTCAGGAACCCTGTCCTCAGCGTGAGGTACCTTGTTCTGAGTGTGAGGTACCTTGTCCTCAGCGTGAGGAACCTTGTCCTCAGCGTAAGGAACCTTGTCCTCAGTTTGAGGTACCTTGCACTCAGATTGAGGAACCTTGTTATCAGCGTGAGGAGACTTGTCCTCCGCGTGAGGAACCTTGTACTCAGTGTGAGGTACCTTGTCCTCAGCGTGAGGAACCTTTTCCTCAGCGTGAGCAGCCTTGTCCTCACTGTGACGTACCTCGTCCTCTGCATGAGGAAACTTGTCGTCAGCATGAGGAACCTTGTCCTCAGTGTGAGGTACCTTGATATCAGTGTGATGTACCTTGTCCTCACCGTGAGCAACCTTGTCCTTAGCGTGAGGGACTTTGTCCTCAGTGTGAGGTACCTTGTCTTCAGCTCGAGGAACATTGTTCTCAGTGTGAGGTGTCCTCAGCGTGAGGAACCTGTCCTCAGCGTGAGGAACTTTGTCCTCAGCGTGAGGAACCTTGTCCTCAGTGTGAGGTACCTTGTCCTCAGCTTGAGCGACATTGCGCTTATTGTGAGATACGTTGTCCTCAGCGTGAGGAACGTTGCCCGCAGCTTGAAAGACCTTGTCCTTAGTGTGAGGTACCTTGTCCTCAGCGTGAGCCACCTTGTCCTCTGCATGATGAACCTTGTCCTCGCCGTCATGAACCTTGTCCTCAGCATGAGGATCCTTGTCCTCAGTGTGAGGTACCTTGTCCTCAGTGTGAGGTACCCTTTCCTCAGCTTGACGAAGCTTGTCCCCAGCGTTAGATACCTTGTCCTCAGCGTGACGTACCTTGTACTCAGCGTTAGGAACCTTTTCCTCAGCGTCAGGAACACTGTCGTCAGCGTGAGGAACCCTGTCCTCAGCGTGAGGTACCATGTCCTCGGGCTGAGAAACCTTGTACTCAGCGTGACGAACCCCGTCCTCAGTGTGACTACCTTGTCCTCAGTGTGAGGTGCCTTGTCCTCAGCGTGAGAAACTTTGCCCTCAGCATGAGGAACCTTTTCCTCAGCGTGAGGAACCTTGTCGTCAGCGTGAGGAACCTTGTCCTCAGCGTGAGGAATGTAGTCCTCTGAGTGAGGTACCTTGTCCTCAGTGTGAGGTACTTTGTCCTCAGCGTGAGCAACCTTGTCCTGGGCGTGAAGAGCCTTGCTCTCAGTGGGAGGTACCTTGTCCTCAATGTGAGGTACCTTGTCCACAGCTTGAGGAACCTTGTCCTGAGTGTGATGTACCTTGTCCTCAGCGTGAGGGACCTTGTCCTCAGTGTGAGGTACCTGGTCCTCAGCCGGAGGTACCTTGGCCTCACCTTGAGGTACCTGTCCTCAATGTGAGGTACCTTGTCCACAGCTTGAGGAACCTTGACCGCAGCGTAAGGACCTTGTCCTCAGCGTGAAGAACCTTGTGCTCAGCGTGAGGAACCTTGTCCTGGGCGTGAAGAGCCTTGTCTCAGTGGGAGGTACCGTGTCCTCAATGTGAGGTACCTTGTCCACAGCTGAGGAACCTTGTCCTGAGTGTGATGTACCTTGTCCTCAGCGTGAGGGACCTTGTCCTCAATGTGAGGTACCTGGTCCTCAGCGGGAGGTACCTTGTCCTCACCTTGAGGTAGCTGGTCCTCAGTGTGAGGTACCTTGTCCTCAGATTGAGGAACCTTGACCGCAGCGTGAGATACCTTGTCCTCAGCGTGAGGAACCTTGTCCTCAGCTTGAGGTACCTTGTCCTCTGCGTGAGGACCTTGTCCTCAGCGTTAGGAAGCTTGTCCTCACTGTGAGGTACCTTGTCCTCGGGTGAGGTATTTTGTCCTCAACGTGAGGAACCTTGTCCTCAATGTTAGGTACCTAGTCCTAAGTGTGAGGTACCTTGTCCTCAGCTTGAATAACCTTGACCTCAGCTTGAGGAACCTTGTCCTCAGTGTGAGCTACGTCGTCCTCAGTGTGACGTACCTTGTCCTCAGGGTGAGGAACCTTGTCCTCAGCTTGAGGAACCTTGTCCTCTGCGTGAAGACCATGTCCTCAACCAGAGGAAGCTTGTCCTCAGCGTGAACAACCTTGTCCTCAGCGTAAGGATCCTTGTCCTCAGTGAGAGGTAGCTTGTCCTCAGTGTGGGGTACCTTGTCCTTAGCTTGAGGAACCTTGTCCTCAGCGTGAGGAACCTTGTCCTCATTGTGAGGTAACTTGTCTTCAGCGTGAGGAACCTAGTCCTCAGTGCGAGGTACAATTGTCCTCAGTGTGACGTGCCTTGTCCTCAGCTTGAGGAACCTTGTTCTCAGTGTGAAGTACCCTTTGTTCAGCTTGAGGAACCTTCTCCTCAGCATGAGGAACCTTGTCCTCAGTGTGAGGTACCTTGACCTCAGTGTGGGGGACCTTGTCCTCAGCGTGAGGTACCTGGTCCTCAGCGGGAGGTACCTTGGCCTCACCTTGAGGTAGCTTGTCCTCAGTGTGAGGTACCTTGTCCTCAGCTTGAGGAACCTTGACCGCAGCTTGAGGACCTTGTCCTCAGCGTGAAGAACCTTGTACTCAGCGCGAGGAACCTTGTCCTGGGCGTGAAGAGCCTTGCTCTCAGTGGGAGGTACCGTGTCCTCAATGTGAGGTACCTTGTCCACAGCTTGAGGAACCTTGTCCTGAGTGTGAGGTACCTTGACCTCAGTGTGAGTTACCTTCTCCCCAGTTTGAGGAAACTTGTCCTCAGTGTGAGGCACCTTCTCCTGAGCTTGAGGCACCTTCTCCTCAGCTTGAGAAACCTTGTCCTCAGTGTGACGTCCCTTGTCCTCAGCTTGAGAACCTTGTCCTCAGCTTGAGGAACCTTGTCTTCAGTGTGAGGTACCTTGTCCTCACCGTGAGGAACCTTGCTCTCAGCGTGAGGTACCTTCTCCTCAGCTTGGGGAACCTTGTCCTCAGCGTCCGGAACATTGTGCTCAGTGTGAAATACCTTGCCTTCAGTGTGAAGTATTTTGTCCTCATCGTGAGGAACCTTGTCCTCAGCTTGAAGAACCTCGTTCTCAGCATCAGAACTTTGTCCTCAGCGTGAGGATCCTTGTTTTCAGCGTGAGGAACCTTGTCCTGTACGTGAGGAACCCTGTCCTCAGTGGGAAGTACCTCGTCCTCAGTGTGACGTACCTTTTTCGCAGCTTGAGGAAGCTTATCCTCAGTGTGAGGTGCCTTGTCCTCAGCTTGAGGAACCTTGTCCTCAGTGTGAGGTTCCTTGCCTCAGCGCGAGGAACCTTTACCTTGTCTTCAGTCTGAGGTACCTTTTTTCCTCAGCTTGAGGAAGCTTGTCCCCAGCGTCAGGAACCTTGACCTCAGCGTGGGGTACCTTGGTCTCAGTGTCAGGTACCTTGTTCTCAGCGTGAGCAACCTTTTTTTCAGCTTGAGGAACCTTCTCCTCAGCGTGAGGAACCTTGTCTTCAGCGTGAGGAACTTTGATCTAATGAGGAAGCTTGTCCCCAGCGTCAGAAACCTTGTCCTCAGCGTGAGGTACCTTGTTCTGAGTGTGAGGTACCTTGTCCTCAGCGCGAGGAACCTTGTCCTAAGCGTGAGGAACCTTGTCCTCAGTTTGAGGTACCTTGTACTCAGATTGAGGAACCTTGTTATCAGCGTGAAGAACCTTGTCCTCCGCGTGAGGAACCTTGTCCTCAGTGTGAGGTACCTTGTCCTCAGCGCGAGGAACCTTGTCCTAAGCGTGAGGAACCTTGTCCTCAGTTTGAGGTACCTTGTACTCAGATTGAGGAACCTTGTTATCAGCGTGAAGAACCTTGTCCTCCGCGTGAGGAACCTTGTCCTCAGTGTGAGGTACCTTGTCCTCAGCGCGAGGAACCTTGTCCTAAGCGTGAGGAACCTTGTCCTCAGTTTGAGGTACCTTGTACTCAGATTGAGGAACCTTGTTATCAGCGTGAAGAACCTTGTCCTCCGCGTGAGGAACCTTGTCCTCAGTGTGAGGTACCTTGTCCTCAGCGCGAGGAACCTTGTCCTAAGCGTGAGGAACCTTGTCCTCAGTTTGAGGTACCTTGTACTCAGATTGAGGAACCTTGTTATCAGCGTGAAGAACCTTGTCCTCCGCGTGAGGAACCTTGTCCTCAGTGTGAGGTACCTTGTCCTCAGCGCGAGGAACCTTGTCCTAAGCGTGAGGAACCTTGTCCTCAGTTTGAGGTACCTTGTACTCAGATTGAGGAACCTTGTTATCAGCGTGAAGAACCTTGTCCTCCGCGTGAGGAACCTTGTCCTCAGTGTGAGGTACCTTGTCCTCAGCGCGAGGAACCTTGTCCTAAGCGTGAGGAACCTTGTCCTCAGTTTGAGGTACCTTGTACTCAGATTGAGGAACCTTGTTATCAGCGTGAAGAACCTTGTCCTCCGCGTGAGGAACCTTGTCCTCAGTGTGAGGTACCTTGTCCTCAACGCGAGGAACCTTTTCCTCAGCGTGAGCATCCTTGTCCTCACTGTGACGTAACTTGTCCTCAGCTTGAGGAACCTTGTCGTCAGCATCAGGAACCTTGTCCTCAGTGTGAGGTACCTTGACATCAGTGTGATGTACCTTGTCCTCAGCGTGAGCAACCTTGTCCTCAGCATGAGGGACTTTGTCCTCAGTGTGAGGTACCTTGTCTTCAGCTTGAGAAACATTGTCGTCAGTGTGAGGTGCCCTGTTCTCAGCGTGAGGAACCTTGTCCTCAGCGTGAGGAACATTTTCCTCAGCGTGAGGAACTTTCTCCTCAGCGTGAGGAACCTTGTCCTCAGTGTAAGGTACCTTGTCCTTAGCTTGAGGGACATTGTGCTCATTGTGAGATACGTTGTCCTCAGCGTGAGGAACGTTGTCCTCAGCTCGAAGGGCCTTGTCCACCTTGTCCTCAGCGTGAGACCTTGTCCTCAGCTGAGGAACCTTGTCCCGTGAACCTTGTCCTCAGCATGAGGAACCTTGTCCTCAGTGCGAGGTACCTTGTCCTCAGTGTGAGGAACCTTTTCCTCAGCTTGAGGAAGCTTGTCCCCAGCGTGAGATACCTTGTCCTCAGCGTGAGGTACCTTGTACTCAGCGTTAGGAACCTTTTCCTCAGCGTGAGGAACCCTGTCCTCAGCGTGAGGTACCATGTAATCAGTCTGAGAAACCTTGTACTCAGCGTGACGAACCCCGTCCTCAGTGTGACTACCTCGTCCTTAGTGTGGGGTACCTTGTCCTCAGCGTGAGAAACTTTGCCTTCAGCATAAGGAACCTTCTCCTCAGCGTGAGGAACCATGTCCTCAGCGTGAGGAACCGTGTCTTCAGCGTGAGGTACCTTCTCTTCAGCTTGAGGAACATTGTCCCCAGTGTGAGGTGCATTGTGCTCAGCGTGAGGAAACCTGTCTTCAGCGTGAGGAACTTTGTCCTCAGCGTGAGGAACTTTGTCCTCAGCGTGAAGAACCTTGTCCTCAGTGTGAGGTACCTTGTCCTCAGCTTGAGGAATCTTGTCCTCTGCGTGAGGAACCCTGTCCTCAGTTTGAGGCACCTTGACCTCAGCTCGAGGAACCTTGTCATCTGCGTGAGTAACCTTGTCCTCTGCTTGAAGAACCTTGTCCTCACCTTTACGCACCTTGTCCTCACCGTGAGGAACCTTGTCCTCCGAGTGAGGAACCTTGTCCTCAGCTTCAGGAACCTTGTCCTCAATGTGAGGTACCTTGTACTCACCGTGAGGAACCTTGTCCTCAGTGTGAGGTACCTTCTCCTCACCCTGACAAAATTTGTCCTCAGCGTGACGACCTTGTCCTCAGCGTGAGGAACTTTGTCTGAGCGTGAGGACCTTGTCCTAAGCGTGAGGAACATTGTCCTCAGTGTGGGGTACCTTGTCCATAGCGTGAGGAACCTTGTCCTCTGCGTCAGGAACCTTGTCCTCAGCGTCAGGACCTTGTCCTCAGCGTGAGGAACCTTGTCCTCTGTCAGTGGGAGTTACCTTGTCCTAAATGTGAGGTACCTTGTCCACAGCTTGAGGAACCTTGTCCTGAGTCCTCAGTGTGATGTACCTGGTCCTCAGCGGGAGGTACCTTGTCCTCAGCTTGAGGAGCTGGTCCTTAGTGTGAGGTACCTTGTCGTCAGCTTGAGGAACCTTGACCTCAGCGTGAGGTACCTTGTCCTCAGCGTGAGCAACCTTGTCCTCACTGTGAGGTACCTTGTCCTCGGTGTGAGGTATTTTGTCCTCAGCGTGAGGAACCTTGTGCTCAATGTGAGGTACCTAGTCCTCAGTGTGAGGTATCTTGTCCTCAGCTTGAGGAACCTTGTCCTCAGCCTGAGGAACCTTGTCCTCATTGTGAGGTACCTTGTCCTCAGCGTGAGGAACCTTGTCCTCGGCGTGAGGAACCTTGTCCTCAGTGCGAGGTACATTGTCCTCAGTGTGACGTGCCTTGTCCTCACCATGAGGAACCTTGTCCTCAGTGTGAAGTACCCTTTCCTCAGCTTAAGGAATCTTCTCCTCAGCATGAGGAACCTTGTCCTCAGTGTGAGGTACCTTGACCTCAGTGTGAGTTACCTTCTCCACAGCTTGAGAAACCTTGTCCTCAGCGTGAGGTACTTTGTCCTCAGCTTGAGGAACCTTGTCCTCAGCTTGAGGAACCTTGTCTTCAGTGTGAGGTACCTTGTCCTCACCGTGAGGAACCTTGTTCTCAGCGTGAGAACCTTGTCCTCAGTTGAGGAACCTTCTCCTCAGTGTGAGGAACCTTGTCCTCAGCGTGAGGAACCTTGTTCTCAGCGTGAGAACCTTGTCCTCAACGTCAGGAACCTTATCCTCAGCATGAGGAACCTTGTCCTCAGTGTGAGGACCTTGTCCTCAGCTTGAGGAACCTTGTCCTCAGCTTCCGGAACATTGTCCTCAGAGTGAAATACCTTGCCTTCAGTGTGAAATACCTTGTCCTCAGCGTGAGGAACCTTGCCCTCAGCGTGAGGAACCATGTCCTCAGTGGGAAGTACCTCGTCCTCAGTGTAACGTACCTTTTTCGCAGCTTGAGGAAGCTTGTCCTCAGTGTGAGGTACCTTGTCCTCAGCGCGAGGAACCTTGTCCTCAGTGTGAGGTACCCTGTCCTCAGTGTGAGCTACCTTGTCCTCAGCTCGAGCAACCTTGTCCCCAGCGTGAGGAAACTTGTCCTCAGTGTGACGCACCTTGTCCTCAGTGTGAGGTACCTTGTCCTAAGTGTGAGGTACCTTGTCCCGAGTGTGACGTATCTTGTCCTGAGCTTGAGGAAACTTGTCCTCAGTGTGAGGTACTTTGCCTCAACTTGGGGAACCTTGTCGTCACCGTGAGGAACCTTGTCCTCAGTGTGATGTACCTTGTCCTCAGTGTGAGGTACATTGTGCTCAGCTTGAGGAACCTTGTCCTCAGCATTCGGAACCTAGACTCAGTGTGAGGTACTTTGAACTCAGTCTGAGGTACATTGTCCTCAGTGTGAGGTACCTTGTCCTCAGAGTTAGGAAACTTGTCCTCTACTTGAGGGACCTTGTCCTCTGCGTGAGGACCTTGTCCTCAGCGTGAGTAAGCTTGTCCCCAACGGGAGCAACCTTTCCTCAGCGGAGGAGCATTGTCCTCAGTGTGAGTTACCTTGTCCTCAGTGTGAGCTACCTTGTCCTCAGCTTGAGGAACCTTGTACTCAGCATGAGGAACCTTGTCCTCAGTGTGAGGTACCTTGTGCTAAGTGTGAGGTACCTTTTCCTCAGTGTGACGTACCTTGTCCTCAGCTTGTGGAACCTTCTCCTCAGTGTGAGTTACTTTCTCCTCAGCTTGGGGAACCTTGTCGTCAGCGTGAGGAACCTTGTCCTCAGTGTGAGGTACCTTGTCCTCAGCGAGAGGAACTTTGTCCTCAGCGTGAGGAAACTTGTCCTCAGTGCGAGGTACCTTGTCCTCAGCTTGAGGAACATTGTCCTCAGTGTGAGGAACCTTGTCTTCAGCGTGAAGAATGTTGTCCTCAGCTTGAGGGACCTTTTCCTCAGTGTGAGGTACCTTGTTCTCAGCTTGAGCATCCTTGTCCTCAGTGGAAAATACCTTGTCCTCAGCTGTGAGGAACCTTGTCCTCAGCTGAGGAACCTTGTCCTCCTTGTCCTCAGTGTGAGGAACCTTGTCCTCAGTGTGAGGAACCTTGTCCTCTACTTGAAGGACCTTGTCCTCTGCGTGAGGACCTTGTCCTCAGCGTGAGGAAGCTTGTCCTCAACGGGAGCAACCTTGTCCTCAGCGGAGGAGGATTGTCCTCAGTGTGAGGTACCTTGTCCTCAGTGTGAGCTACCTTGTCCTCAGCTTGATGAACCTTGTCCTCAGCATGAGGAACCTTGTCCTCAGAGTGAGGTACCTTGTGCTAAGTGTGAGGTACCTTTTCCTCAGTGTGACGTACCTTGTCCTCAGCTTGTGGAACCTTCTCCTCAGTGTGAGTAACTTTCTCCTCAGCTTAGGGAACCTTGTCGTCAGCGTGAGGAACCTTGTCCTCAGTGTGAGGTACCTTCTCCTCCGCGTGAGGAACTTTGTCCTCAGCGTGAGGAAACTTGTCCTCAGTGTGAGGTACCTTGTCCTCAGCTTGAGGAACATTGTCCTCAGTGTGAGGAACCTTGTTTTCAGCGTGAAGAACGTTGTCCTCAGATTGAGGAACCTTTTCCTCAGTGTGAGGTACCTTGTCCTCAGCTTGAGGAAACTTGTCCTCAGCTTGAGGAACCTTGTCCTCAGTGAGAGGTCCCTTGTCCTCAGCGTGAGGAACCTTGTCCTCAGCGTGAGGAAAGTTGCCCACAGTGTGACGTACCTTGTCCTCAGTTCCTCAGCGTGAGGAACCCTGTCCTCAGCGTGAGGACCTTGTTCTAAGCATGAGGAACCTTGTCCTTAGTGTGAGGTACCTAGTCTTCAGCGTGAGAAACCTTGTCCTCAGCGTGAGGAAACCTGTCCTAAGCGTGAGGTACCATGTCCTCAGCCTGAGAAACCTTGTCCTCAGCGTGACGAACCCCGTCTTCAGCGTGAGGAATCTTGTCCTCAGTGTGAGGAACCTCGTCGTCAGTGTGAGGTACCTTGTCCTCACCGTGGAGGAACTTTCTCCTCAGCGTGAGGAACCCTGTCCTCAGCGTGAGGAGCCTTGTTCTAAGCATGAGGAACCTTGTCCTTAGTGTGAGGTACCTAGTCTTCAGCGTGAGAAACCTTGTCCTCAGCGTGAGGAAACCTGTCCTAAGCGTGAGGTACCATGTCCTCAGCCTGAGAAACCTTGTCCTCAGCGTGACGAACCCCGTCTTCAGCGTGAGGAATCTTGTCCTCAGTGTGAGGAACCTCGTCGTCAGTGTGAGGTACCTTGTCCTCACCGTGGAGGAACTTTGTCCTCAGCGTGAGGAACCTTGACCTCAGCTTGAAGGACCTTGTCCTTAGTGTGAGGTACCTTGTCCTCAGCGTGAGGCACCTTGTCCTCTGCGTGAGGAACCTTGTCCTCACCGTGACGAACCTTGTCCTCAGCGTCACGAACCTTGTCCTCGGCCTGAGGAACCTTGTCGCCAGCGTGAGGAACCTTGTTCTCAGGGTGACGTAACATGTCCTCAGCGTGAGGATCCTTGTCCTCAGCGTGAGGAACCTTGTCGACAGCGTGAGAAACCATGTCCTCACCGTGAGGAACCTTGTCCTCAGCGTGAGGAACATTGTTCTCAGTATGAGGTACCTTGTCGTCAGCGTGAGGTACTTTGTTCTCAGCTTGAGAAACCTTGTACTCAGCGTAAGAAACTTTGTGCTCATGGTGACCTACCTTGTCCTCACCGTGAGGAATCTTGTCCTCAGCGTGAGGAACCTTGTCCACAGTGAGAGGTAGCCTGTCCTCAGAGTGAGGAACCGTGTCCTCAGCTTGAAGGACCTTGTCCTTAGTGTGAGGTACCTTGTCCTCAACGTGAGGCACCTTGTCCTCTGCGTGAGGAACCTTGTCCTCACCATGACGAACCTCCCTTCCTCAGCGTGAGAACTTTCCTCAGCGTGAGGATTTGTCCTCAGCGTGAGGACCTCAGCGTGAGGTACTTTGTCCTCAGCGAGAGCAACTTAGTCCTCAGCGGGAGGAACCTTGTCATGAGTGTGTGGTACCTTGTCCTCAGCGTGAGGAATCTAGTCCTCAGTGTGACGTACCTTGTCCTCAGTGTGAGGTACCTTGTCCTCAGCGTGAGGAATCTTGTCCTCTGCGTGAGGAACCTTGTCCTCACCGTGAGGAACCTTGTCCTCAGAGTGAGGAACCTCTTCCTCAGAATGACGAACCTTGTCCTCAGTCTGAAGTACCTTGTCCTCAGTGTGAGGTACTTTGTCCTCAGTTTGAGGAACCTTGTCCTCAGCATGAGGAACCTTGTCCTCAGCGTGAGGAACTTTGTCCTCATTGTGAGGAACCTTGTCCTCAGAGTGAGGTACCTTGTCTTCAGCGTGGGGAACCTTGTCCTCAGTGAGACGTACCTTGTCCTCAGCGTGAGGACCTTGTCCTCAGTGTGAAGTACCTTGTCCTCAGTGAGAGGTAACTTTCCTCAGCTTGAGGAACCTTGTCCTCAGTGAGACGTACCTTGAACTCAGCGTGAGGAACCTAGTCCTCAGTGTGACGTACTTTGTACCTTGTCCTCAACGTGAGGAACGTTGTCCTCTGCGTGGGGAACCATGTCCTCAGCGTGAGGAACCTAGTCCTCAGCTTGGAGAACCTTATCCTCAGCGTGAGGATCTTTCTCCTCAGTGTCAGGTACCTTGTCCTCAGTGTCGGGTACCTTGTCCTCAGCTTGAGGAACCTTTTCCTCAGTGTGAGGTACTTTGTCCTCTGCGTGAGGTACCTTGTCCTCAGTGTGAGGTACCTTGTCCTCAGCGTGAGAAACCTTGTCCTCAGCTTGACGAACCTTGTCCTCAACGTGAGGAACCTTGTCCTCTGCTTGAAGAACCTTGTCTTCAGCGTGAGGATCCTTGTCCTCACTGTGAGGTAACTTGTCCTCAGTGTCAGGTACCTTGTCCTCAGCTTGAGGAACCTTCTCCTCAGTGTCAGGAACATTATCCTCAGTGTGAGGTAGCCTGTCCTCACGGTGAGATACCTTGTCCTCATCGTTAGGAACCTTGTCCTCGGCTTGAGGAACCTTGTCGTCAGCGTGAAGACCTTGTCCTGGGCGTGAAGAACCTTGTCTTCAGTGGGAAGTACATTGTCCTCAGTGTGAGGTATCTTGTCCTTAGCGTGAGGAACCTTGTATCGTTAGGAACCTTGTCCTCGGCTTGAGGAACCTTGTCGTCAGCGTGAAGACCTTGTCCTGGGCGTGAAGAACCTTGTCTTCAGTGGGAAGTACATTGTCCTCAGTGTGAGGTATCTTGTCCTTAGCGTGAGGAACCTTGTACTCCGTGCGCGGTACCTTGTGCTCAGTGTGATCTACCTTGTCCTCAACTTGGGGAACCTTGTCCTCAGCGTGAGGAATATTGCCCTCAGCGTGAGGTACCTTGTTTTCAGCGTGAGAAACCTTGTTCTCAGCGTGAGGATCCTTGTCCTCTCTGTGAGGTACCTTGTCCTCAGTGTCAGGCGTGAGCTACCTTGTTTTTAGCGTGAGAAACCTTGTCCTCAGCTTGAGAAACCTTGTCCTCTGCGTGAGGAACCTTGTCCTCTGCTTTAAGAACCTTGTCCTCAGCGTGAGGATCCTTGTCTTCACTGTGAGGAACCTTGTCCTCAGTGTATTTTGCTCAGCGTGAGCTACCTTGTTTTTAGCGTGAGAAACCTTGTCCTCAGCTTGAGAACCTTGTCCTCAGCGTGAGGATCCTTGTCTTCACTGTGAGGAACCTTGTCCTCGTGAGAGACCTTGTCCTCAGGTAGACCTTGTCCTCGCGTAGGAACCTTGTCCTCAGTGTGAGGTACCTTGTCCTCAGCGTTGAGGAACCTTGTCCTCTGCGTGAGGAACCTTGTCCTCAGTGTGAGGTACCTTATCATCAGCTTGAGGAACCTTGTCTTCAGTGTGAGTTACTTTGTCCTCAGCGTGAGGTACCTTGTCCTCAGTGTGAGGTACGTTGTCCTCAGCGTGAGAAATCTTGTCGTCAGCTTGAGGAACCTTGTCCTCAGCGTGAGGAACCTTGTCCTCTGCTTTAAGAACCTTGTCCTCTGCGCGAGGATCCTTGTCTTCAGTGTGAGGTACTCTGCTTTAAGAACCTTGTCCTCTGCGCGAGGATCCTTGTCTTCAGTGTGAGGTACCTTGTCCGCAGTGTCAGGTACCTTGTCCTCAGCTTGAGGAACCTTGTCCTCAGCGTCAGGAACATTGTCCTCAGTGTGAGGTTCCTTGGCTCAGTGTGAGATACCTCGTTCTCATCGTGAGGAACCTTGTCCTCAGCTTGAGGAACCTTGTCGCCAGCGTGAGGATCTTGTCGTCAGCCTGACGACCCTTGCATGACAGACGCAAATGAATGTTATATTCCCATGTTTCCTTTACGATTTGGTTCCTGGTCTAGTGTGATACGAAGTGAAAGAGTAAAGTATGGCGCAACTTAATGGGCTGAGATGAGGTTTCTATTTGTTTCGTATATGTGATACTTATGCAATTCTAAATATTACGTCTACACAGCGAATGAAACTTCATCTTAGTCTGCTTTTTCACTCTCAATATCCGTAATTCCTACCACGATTCCATACGAAAAACAATTTGTGGGTGGTACATGTTGCACTGTAAGACCTGTAACACTGTAAGTTATTTGATTTTTCTGAAAAATATCTACCAGCACTTTTGCCATCTGCTCATGTGTAGTATTTATTTGTACTTGCGTGCATGAACACTGTTTTTATGCATTTAGAAAACAACCCGGATCACTTTCATATATGGAACGAAGCCAAGAATTTTCACTATCTGAACCTGCTGGATGTTGGCTTGAACAAGCTTCCACTGCCATCAACCGACGACTATGCTTCAATGACTGAAACCGAATGTATGACGTAGTTGTCAAATGCCAACTTTCAAGATGTACAGGATATTGTTAAAATGGATATACGTAATTCATGCCTTGTTAGTGATGAGCAAAGTCCCAGGTGCAACGAAAAATCCAACACTTTAATCCTCCCTCTTTCATTGGAAGACAACTCCACACTAACAGGTGGTGCAGCTTGCTTGGCTGAATTTGGAAAAGAATTTAGAATTCCTTGTAACCACAATGACATTACCTTGCCTTTTGATGACAAGATAGAAAACTTTTCAATAGAGTCAGCACGAAAGCATCATGACTTTCTGCTTAGGGTGCAAGAATACAAGAAAGAAATGGAAGTACTAGTGGAGAAGCTAATTTTATGTGAAAAAAGCCTGGATACCGATGATGTTGGGATCGAGGAGGATGAAGAGAAAGATACCGAAAATGGAGCTGGAGAGAATGAACAATTCCAAAAAGTAGATGGAAAGTTTCAAAAGGTTGTAGATAAGTTGAGTGCTAAGATATGGAGTGCACATCAGTCAAGTGATCCAGATGATTTGAGCAGACTTGTCCAGTATATGCAACTAAATAGAGATTCATGGGAAAAAGCAGCTAACCACCATGGGAGTACCATTTTGCACCATGCCGTAGAAGAAGAGAACTTAACACTTATAAAAACTTTACTAAATGTGGGGGTAAATCCCAATGTGAAGGAAAAATGTGGGGCAACTCCATTGACTTTGGCCATTATAAAGAAAAATGAAGAGATTGTAAAATTACTGTTGGAGAGTTACGCTGAGTATGATGACAAATTCTACACCTCTGTTCCTGGACCCAGAACGATGGCACAAAAGTTAAATATTCCATCTATTGAACAGTTGTTTGATGACCTGTCAATGGATGAGACCCACTGCGACAAAGTTATATGGGACATCGTTGAAGTAGCCACAGTGGGACATAAACAAGGTATTCATACACCTATAATTTTCGATAATGATACAGAAGAAGAAAGCTCTCAAGTACATACATTTAGTTATGACAGATCGAGACCAGGAAACAAGACATTAGTTGTCGGAGATCAAGGAACAAATAAGATAAATCGCAGTGTTAGAGCGAAATCTGCCGGTGCTTATGACTGGGTTGGTGAAGTTCCTGGAGATATGCACGCCAAAGGTAAGGACTGTACCACCAATCTAGAGTAGAAAAGTACAATTTCCGGGAGTGTTTATCTCCCCATCCATCCTCCGATTTTCAGGGTCCAGTTGTACGAAAGCCGGATACCTGACCTAATGTTTTAAATGGGCTGATGGCGTGGTTGGGTGTTCAAACCTAGTTGCAATAATACAACTTAGTCGAAGAGCAAACAAATATAACCACGCCATTGTACGATGAAAACTCTAAGTATTCCCAGTCAATTTTAGCAAATATTTCAAGCACTAAACAGTGAAAAATACATCGCAAATTTCGTTAAAATTTGTGACGCCAATTTCGTAGCTGCAAATGTAAAAAAAATACAAAACAAAGACGAAAAACATTTACCTTGAATATTTTGTAGTGGCTTAGGCATGTTTTTAAAACAATTAGACTAGTTTATGCTTCAGGCAAAACAACAAAAACGCCGAGAACTTTGGCAATATTCGCAATACGCGTGACGTCACGTTTTTCAACAAGGATGAGTCAATGATAAAACAAAAGTTATTCCGAATATAAGGAGTGCATAATATTAACACACAATTTATTAAAACTGTATATTTCGAATCTAAATCAGATTCATCTTCAGCAGTGTTTTGCAAGATATGTCGTTATATTTACAAGCGTGAGCAATTTTTGAATATAACGACATATCTTGCAAAACACTGCTGAAGATGAATCTGATTTAGATTCGAAATATACAGTTTTAATAAATTGTGTGTTAATATTATGCACTCCTTATTCGGAATAACTTTTGTTTTATTTTTGCTGAAATTATCAGCCGGAAAAGGATTATGAGTCAATGACTTCAGGAAGTTTCCTATCCAGTTATTTTACAATCCATGGTCATACACAGACAACAGCAAAGTACCAGTAATAACGGTATACTAGTATATAGCACAAAAATCCGTGTAAAAACGCGCGTTAAACATACGTACAGTACATGTGTATATTTCGTCTTGATCACTTATCGGTTGTGTGTACCTATCAAGAAAAAACTGAATATGTTTACTCTTAGTTTATAGCGGATAATTTGTTTAATAAAACACCTTATCTAGTATATATCACGTTATTCTTTATACCAGATTATCTGTTTGTAAGTGCTTGACATGTCATATGATACCTTCGTGTAAATTGGGCCATATATATACATACTGTAATAGTAAAGTTAGGTATACTGCGCCTGTATAAGTATTGTTATTTTAAACAATAGTACTTTGTTGTGATTTACACAGGCTATTTCCTAGAAGTTTGCAAGAAAACTATGGGCCCAGGAGGTTTTATGTGTGTTCTTCATCATGTGATTAAAAGGCATAAATTGAATGATGCTGCATTTGGCGATAAAAAGTTTCAAAATCAAAATCTTGGGAAGATTCATGAAGCTGTTCGAGATATCTGCATGGCGTATGGATTAGCGGCTGTTCAGTTGTATAAGAAAAGCGAATTCTTTCCTACAGAAAGTGAACTTACTGATCACCTAAATCGATTTAATAATCATAACCAACTACTCCTCGAAACCTTCAAGCGATGGCTAGCCAAGGCATCCGAAAGTCGAAAGTTTGCATATCAAAGCCAGATGATTACTTTATTTGGTCCGTTGCGAGACTTGTACAAAACCAGAATTAGAGAGGGTGATGCATGGTGTTGCCCGTGAAGCTGTCTGGATGTTGATGCTTCCTTTATTTGCCCAGCTGCAGAAACGAAATTACTGGACGGAGGCTTTTGTCCATGTTGTAAATCTAGTTGCAGCATGGCCACAAGCGACTAGAAAGATGCTGCAACACAATTGTTCGGTCAATGTGAAGGGTAGACAAGGCCATTGTTTAGCTCTGGATGAATGGGTTGAAACGTACATTGTGTTACCGCTAAAGAAATATGCATCAGGTAAATAAAAATATTTTCATCACCGTATTGGTATTAACCACTGGGCACTGGTATCATAATTGTTCCAAGTTTTAAAAAGTCAAAGCCGGTTTATTGTCACTGTATTACTATCAAGTATCAAGGCCCGTTTACATTTGCAATTTTATGTGCGATTTTTCTTCTAATGCCTACTTGATCAATAAGTTATGAATGTTCGGATGAGATATCATCCGTACATAATACACATACTCTTTCATAACTCGTCCACTCATTCACAAGCAGCAAAAATCGCAAGTGTAAGTGGGCCTTAAGTATGGTTATTTTGAAAGTAAAAAAATTATTCTTAAAATTATGGGGAATTGTATTGCAGGTCACTCAAGCATCAACATGCTGAAACGGTTGATGGTTAATATTGAGGCATTCAGCACAATACGAGCAGCGTATTCCAGCCCTAGTGCATTTGATGTTCACCCTACGTCCCGCCACAAAGAGCAAGACCCTATCCTTGATCAACTAAAGGCGATGTGGTTTTGCTTGAAGGAGAACGTTATCTCTGATGATGCCAGTGATGATGTCATACATAAGATGACCAAAGAGGGAAATTGTGAGGGTAATGTTCAACAGTCACTGATTGATGTTTATTCGAAAGGCAAATTGAAAGTAAAGCAACAGTTTTCTCGAATGTTGTATGAAAAATTTAATGTATGTGTTTCTGAACAGTCTGATAACGAAAGCATTGACAGTGCATGATTGTCATAATTGAAAGAGATAGTATTACAACAATAGAGAGATTTACAGGGATTAGCCAATTGCCTGTTTTTCCATATTTTCCACGGGTACACTTATAATGTAAACAGGCTATAATCCCGTGAGGAATCGTTAAAGCTATTTGTAGTTCATTACATAACTATTTGTAGTACACAAATTTAAAATCCCTTTCTAAAACTTGTGATGCTTTTTCACCAAGAACAAGGAGTGGTGTCGTTTTAGTGTCTGAGACAGTTCTTAGTTTCTCTTGTAAAATGCCACCAGTAATCAATAAATGAATAAATTTGTACATTGTTTTACTATTAAAGTCTTTAGAACCACTCCCATGATTCTGTGCATTTACGTAACCTTCATTTACAATTTCCTTCGATCTCGATCCCCGATATGTCAGTGCCAAATATTTAACACTAACATTTGAATCAATTTTAATCATCGACTGCACACATGCCACAACAGACCTTGCATGTTCAGTTCCGTTTAGTGGAGGATTTGGAGATTGTTTGCAAACATCACATCTCTCATTACAACTAGAGGAAGATGCACCATCAAAGTATCTCACAAGTTGTGACTTCCTGCATGAAGGAATCATACAGTAATCTACCATGTGATTCAGACTTTTTAGGCGTTGTTGTTTCTCACCTCCATCGGGTAGGGCTGACATGTTCTTCAAATGTATAGTCCTGTCCTCAAACTTGAAAAAGACTATGCAGTGAGCTTCCGTTCCATCTCTCCCTGCTCGACCCGACTCTTGAACATAGTTTTCTATACTAGGAGAAATTCCATTGTAAATCACAAACTTGACTTTTTTTTGTCGATGCCCATTCCAAAAGCGACTGTAGCACATATAACATCTATTTTCCCAGCTTTCCAATTCTCTGCAATTTGATGTCTCTTATAGACATCCAGACCAGCATGGTAATAGGTAGCGTTGATCCCAGACCTCTGTAGTCGATATGCCACTTCAACTGTGTCTTTACGTTGTTGGCAATATACTATTCCACAGCTGCCATCAAATTCATTCTTGACCAAACCAACTAGAGTGGAGTGGTCTGATCCCTGCCTGTCAATAACTTCGAACACAAGGTTTGGTCGATCTGACGATTGTAATAGCACATTTACATCCGGCAACTGGAGATGATTAATTATCGCATCCCTGGTTCGTTGTGTGGCAGTACCTAAAAATTTAAAATAACGGATACAACCATCAAAATGTATCTAAAAGTTATTTCATTTTTGAAAAAGAAATATGTGAACAACATTGGGACTGCCTCCTTTTTCAAGTCAAATTCTGTATTGTCCGAATAGTTTGCCTATGCATTAATTAAAATACTGTGAGGTTTGTGGAATCACTGGAATGAAACATATCAATGTATATGTTAAGTATATTTATATGCACAATCTTTGCCAAAAACTATGGAACAGGTGCTGTAATTTCAAATAATTTGAAAGGCATAGGGTTCCCCCACTTCAGCGTTCAGTCGACAAAAATCTGATGCCTGGTTGCAAGACACCAACATTGAAATGGGGGGGGGGGGGGCAGAGGGAAGGGATTAAAATGTGTATCACTATTTAAGAAATGGTATAAATACATCTGAACACAGATAAAAACTAGATTGTCCCATGGTCTCCAATGGCAATTGTAAAAGATGGCAGTGCAGTGAATAAGGTGCAATTTGCCCAGATGTGTCATGCCTCAAAATTTAATGTATTTGTTTCTGAACAGTCTGATAATGAAAGCATTGACAGTGCATGATTGTCATAATTGAAAGAGATAGTATTACAACAATAGAGAGATTTACAGGGATTAGCCAATTGCCTGTTTTTCCATAATTTCCACGGGTACACTTATAATGTAAACAGGCTATAATCCCGTGAGGAATCGTTAAAGCTATTTGTAGTTCATTACATAACTATTTGTAGTACACAAATTTAAAATCCCTGTCTAAAACTTGTGATGCTTTTTCACCAAGAACAAGGAGTGGTGTCGTTTTAGTGTCTGAGACAGTTCTTAGTTTCTCTTGTAAAATGCCACCAGTAATCAATAAATGAATAAATTTGTACATTGTTTTACTATTAAAGTCTTTAGAACCACTCCCATGATTCTGTGCATTTACATAACCTTTATTTACAATTTCCTTCGATCTCGATCCCCCATATGTCAGTGCCAAATATTTAACACTAACATTTGAATCAATTTTAATCATCGACTGCACACATGCCACAACAGACTTTGCATGTTCAGTTCCGTTTAGTGGAGGATTTGGAGGTTGTTTGCAAACATCACATCTCTCATTACAACTAGAAGAAGATGCACCATCAAAGTATCTCACAAGTTGTGACTTCCTGCATGAAGGAATCATACAGTAATCTACCATGTGATTCAGACTTTTTAGGCGTTGTTGTTTCTCACCTCCATCGGGTAGGGCTGACATGTTCTTCAAATGTATAGTCATGTCCTCAAACTTGAAAAAGACTATGCAGTGAGCTTCCGTTCCATCTCTCCCTGCTCGACCCGACTCTTGAACATAGTTTTCTATACTAGGAGGAATTCCATTGTGAATCACAAACTTGACTTTTTTTTGTCGATGCCCATTCCAAAAGCGACTGTAGCACATATAACATCTATTTTTCCAGCTTTCCAATTCTCTGCAATTTGATGTCTCTTATAGACATCCAGACCAGCATGGTAATAGGTAGCGTTGATCCCATACTTCTGTAGTTGATACGCCACTTCAACTGTGTCTTTACGTTGTTGGCAATATACTATTCCACAGCTGCCATCAAATTCATTCTTGACCAAACCAACTAGAGAGGAATGGTCTGATCCTTGCCTGTCAATAACTTGGAACACAAGGTTTGGTCGATCTGACGATTAGCACATTTACATAACACATTTACATCCGGCAACTGGAGATGATTAATTATCGCATCCCTGGTTCGTTGTGTGGCAGTACCTAAAAATTTAAAATAACGGATACAACCATCAAAATCTATCTAAAAGTTATTTCATTTTTGAAAAAGAAATATGTGAACAACATTGGGACTGCCTCCTTTTTCAAGTCAAATTCTGTATTGTCCGAATAGTTTG